TTAAACACACACCGCTAAATCCACTCCCCAGACATTAAACCTGAAACCCCAAACCCTGAACCCCCTGAGCTACGATGGACAAACAAATCACAGCACTACATCAGCACCCTAAACTCTAAACCCCTGAGCCCTAAACCCGTGAACCTTGACCTAAACCCCCAAACCTGAAACCCCGTAAACCCTACGCAAGCACCAAAGCCTCAAGCCTAAGCCCCCTGAGCCAGGATGGACATCATCGTATAAGGGCCCCAAGACCCCATTCTAATTATTAAGGCCCTAGTTTCGGTGAGCCAGTAGGCACAAACAAATCACAGCTCTAAACCAGCACCCCAAACCCTGAACCCTAAACCCGTGGTTTAAGGTTTAGGGTTCCTAGCCTAAGCCCCCTGAGCCGGGATGGACAAACAAATCACACCCTAAACCCTAAAGCCTAAAGCCAAAGCCCCTTGAGCCAGGACGAATCGCAGCACTAAATCAGCACCCTAAACCCTAAACCCCTAAACCCGACACTGCCTCTGCCAGGATGGACCCTAAACCCTAAACCCTACACCCTACAGGATGGACAAGCAAATCAAGAGCATGAAGAAGCAGCTGTCTGAGATGGAGAGGAACCAGGCCGGTTGCAGGGTTTAAGCGTCAAGGGCTTAGGGTGTACAGTTCAGGGTCTAATGTAGGGGCCTTAAGAATTAGGATAGGGTTCCTTGAAAGGGTTCCTTTAAGGGATACTACAAGGGTACTATACGGGTGCTTTCATGTAAGGGCCTTAATAATGAGAATCGGGTTTTGGGGTTCCCCTTATTTTAATAAAAGTACAATTTCCCCCAAACCCTGTTCAAGTTTTTCAGGCCTCTACATTAGGGCATGAGCGTTTAGGGCATTTTGGGTTCAGGGGTTAGGGTTAAGGCTGTCTCATGGGTACTTGGAAGCAGCTGTTAATTTTTGGCTGCTATACTGCGCCGGGCCGATAGTTCGACCCATTAGCTTCAACATGCTACAAGACATGGGCCTCCACCCTCTTCCCCATAGACTCCTAACACAAAGGAGCCTTGGGGCCTCCGCCGGAACTAATAAGTAGTATATTTTTAAAACGGGGTAGTAATTACTCCGCTGGCCTGCGTAGGGCAAACGGCACTTTGAGGTACTCCGCTACTCCGCAAGAGCTTGTATGTAAAATGATGCTCAAGTGGGTCGAAACTTTCGGCCCGGCGATGCCTCCTGAATCGTTTCTTAGACGGGGATGTCTGTCTAAAGGGGACCTGAAGGAGGTCATGAGGTCACACAGCAACAAGTTTGGCGAGGTTTGCTGAACAGAAAAGGTCCCGGTGAGGCAGCATCAATTTTGGGTGACAGAGTCCAGCCCAAACAACACCAGGGTGAAAGTGTTCGGGGGCTTCGCACACCAGGACTGCAAAGGAGGGGGCTCTTGCCTCGATAATGGAGGCTGCCTCCTGAATCGTTTCTTAGACGGGGATGTCTGTCTAAAGGGGACCTGAAGGAGGTCATGAGGTCACACAGCAACAAGTTTGGCGAGGTTTGCTGAACAGAAAAGGTCCCGGTGAGGCAGCGTCAATTTTGGGTGCCAGAGTCCAGCCCAAACAACACCAGGGTGAAAGTGTTCGGGGGCTTCGCTCACCAGGACTGCAAAGGAGGGGACTCTTGCCTCGATAATGGAGGCTGCCTCCTGAATCGTTTCTTAGACGGGGATGTCTGTCTAAAGGGGACCTGAAGGAGGTCATGAGGTCACACAGCAACAAGTTTGGCGAGGTTTGCTGAACAGAAAAGGTCCCGGTGAGGCAGCATCAATTTTGGGTGCCAGAGTCCAGCCCAAACAACACCAGGGTGAAAGTGTTCGGGGGCTTCGCACACCAGGACTGCAAAGGAGGGGACTCTTGCCTCGATAATGGAGGCTGTATACCCGAAGACACAGCTTAACTTCAATTTCATGCAAGGGTACCAAGTGCAGTATTGTGAGGGCTTGAGGGGCATGAGCAGTGGAGGGTTTAGGTCTTAGTGCTCAGGTCTTAGAAGGTTAGGGGTTCTGGACTGAGGAGGGGGGAAAGGACATGCTGGCGTCCCTAAACCCCTAAACCCTAAATGAAACTCGAAATAGAAACTGCAGGTTCCTGTTCAGGCTTGAAATAGGGTGGAGCCGGTAGCCGTAAACTGGCTTGTGTGAGCCAGCGACTTCAGATATCGGGGGAAATTGATAAATAGGGTTGCAATGTATGAGTGGGTTTAGGGTTGGGGGTTGGCTAACGGTTAGGGTTTGGGGCTTCGGGTTTTGGGGTTTTGGGTTTCGGTATATGTGCTTAATGAAACCCCGTTGAGATGCATCTACCCCTACTTACCCAGCACCTGCCAAAAAAACCCGTATAGATCCCTTCAAGTGTTCTCTTCATGGCTCCTATAAGATTACATAGGGGGGCTCCCATAATGAGGCGTTTTTGAGGGGTAGGACCAATTGGGGGGACCCAACTTGCTAGGCCTGAGTCCCCTGAAGCCTCTATTTCGTCGGAGGCGGGCTTTGGGGACTTGCTGACGCAGGCACTCCAAGGCGGGTTACAGGGTGCCGCATTCAGGGTTTCAGGATTGTGTTTACAAGGATCTTTCGGTTTTGCGTCATTTTTTTCAGAATTTGGGTTTGGGGTTTTCAGGATTTAGGTTTGGTCTTTCAGTTTTTAGGATTCAGGGTTCAGGATTAATTTTCGGTTTCGGGCGAAAGCTGGAAGGCAGAGTTTACAGAGCAGAGTGCGTGGCAAGGGTCAAACGGCTTTACCTGTCAGCCAAGTCTGTTGGTAGGGCCATGGTAGGGTCGTCATACTACTGTAAAGTAGTAATATGGGTACATGAACCCTTGGGGTGAGGGTTTAGGGGTGGAGGGTTTGGGGCACAGTGTTTTGTGTCTGTGTGTATGTTTGCGAAGGTCCGCCGCCGAAGCCTGGAAGACCGTACGTCGGCGTAAAGCCTTACGCGACCCTATCGACACCCAATAGCATCGCAAGTCTCCCTCCCTTCCTGCCTACCTTCCTCCCTCCCACTTCTCCTTGACTCGCTCTCGCTCGCTTTGGTTCGTGGCTCTTACTACTTCCAGCTCTAACCCTGCCCGTAACGGCATCTCTCTCTCTCTCTCTCTCTCTCTCTCTCTTTCTTTTTCTCCATGTCGCTCACTGTGCGTCTCAGAAACCCGCTTCCTGGTGCAATCGGCCTACGTGAATGACGTTCTGCCAAGGGAGGCGTCTGCTTGCGTCTGCTGGGTGTTCGGGCTTAGGGTTTTGGTGCTTTGGGTCTAGGCTCCAGGATTATGGACTCAGGTGTTGGAGGTTAGGGCTTCAGAGAAGGCGTAAAAACGACAATAACTTGGTTGATGTTGTCCGAATCCGGACCCGTAGATTCTTTTAAATGGTTCCCGCGTCAAGAGGGTCAATCAGAGGTAAGATATTCTGTTTGCACACAGTTTTTGTCCGTTTGTGGTTTTCGTGGTTTCGGAGTTTGTGGGTTAGAACCCCTCAGCCCGAATCGAAACCCTAAACCCCAGAAGTCCACACAGAAGCGCAAGCGCCCCAAATACGTTGAGCGCTTAGCCTTGTATTGCCCAGAATTTGGGTACATCTTCTATCCTCGGATGCCTTAAGAATTCTCTTCTGCACGTGCAGTTATTCTCTGCTGGCATGCTGTCTTGTACCCTATCACATGTTGGACACCTCAGAACCGAAAGTTTCATACCGTGGGTGATATCGAAGAGTCCCACTAATATGGACCTCAAGGAGCCAGAGTACCCCGCACTTCAAGGACCCCACAAGCCTAAACCCCTCATGCGAGGGTTTGTTGTTGAAGCTTTCAGCATGTAAGTTGGTTAGGCTTGAACACTCACCCCGTAAGTGCGGAAGGTTTCCGTCAGTAACGTGAACAACGTGGAGGTGCAGTCATGCTCTGTGCTGATATGCGTGTTGAGGGCTTTACCCTTCAGGGTTTGGGGGTGGAGGCAGGGCTTAGGCTGTTGAGGTGTATACATATATATATATATATATATATACAACACCAACAAACAAACATACATACATACACACATATATATATATATATATATACACATACATGTGCATATATATATATATATACATTTGTACATTTATATATAATACATACATACATGTATATTTATATCTCTATATATATACATGTTTACATGTATGTGTGTGTATATATATGTATATATATATATTCAGGAGGTGACAGTGACAGGTTCAGGCTTTATGCCCGAATTTAACAGGTCTGGGATATGAAGGGCCAGCGACAGGCACTTCATTAGAGAGAAGACAGAGCAGTTGTAGAACAGTGGCATGAAGTATATATTATATGTATGTACATTTATATATATATATATATATATGTAATGCTCGTAGCCGAAACGACAATCGCATGGACCTGCTGGAAATGTAGGTACTTTAAATCCGAAGCAGTAGTTGCGAGACTGATCATAAGAATTGGACCGGTTTCAGCATCTCACGTCACCAGGAGGCACGCGTGCCAGGTGTCTCGCAGCTTATGTTAACTGATCACTTCATTGTGCCACAGAGTGCGCAATTCTCAACAGCATAAGTCTAGGGATGCCAAGAAAGAACCTAAGTGCTGAGTCCTGAACCTTATCCTGAGCCCCACATCCTGCACATCCTAAGCCTGTGGGGATTCCTCAGACCCGAAACCAGAGCCCCTCAAGTCAGGAGCCCTAACTATTCAGACATCTAGTTGAGCCTAATGTAGGAACCTGATTAAGAAACCCTGGGCCTATAACCCCCAAAACAGTAGGATTCATATAAGGAACCCTCAAGAAGCCTTGTAATCAGGTTGCTACATTAAGAAGAAAGGTGCAGGGTTGGAGATAAAGGACATCCAAGTCAAAGGTTTTGCTTGAAGTCGTCCAAGCCGTCTGCAGCTGGATGAAACTCCCAACTGGGAGTTTCCGAAAATTAGGGGTACCGCCTTTGGGTCCCTTATAATAAGGATCCTAATATTTCGGGTACTATACAAGGGTCTCGTATTTTCGGAAACACCCAGCTCGCCAGTGCTAAGCCCAAACAGCCCCCAAAACCCTAAACCGTGAAGCAGTGCGACCCCCATGACATGAGAACAGGCCCAGGAGGTCACCAAGAGGCAACACGGAGTTTGGCTGAACCCTCTAAAGCCTCACAAAACCCTTCTACGACATGAAAAACACCCTTCGCAAAACCTTATGGGTGGTTGTCAAAATTAGGGTCCCTGTTTGGGGCCTTATTATAATACGGCACCTAGTATTTAGGGTTCCCAAAAAAAACGGACTATAATTTCGACAACTACTCTTATGGCACCTTCATGCAACCCGAAGATCGGAGGCTTCAAAAGGTGGGATGAAGGTGGGTAGGATCAAGGATCCCTCATATAAGGACTCTCATTTGGGAATATCCCACCTACCTTCATCCCACCTTTTGAGGCCTCCGAGAAGAGGAGAAAGTGTGAAGCCGCCTGTAGAAACCCTACAAAACCCTGGTTCAGCCGATCTAAGAAGCCGAAAGATACTATAGGGGCCTAAAAATGACTATGTTACTATTTTGGGGGTTCCTTACCAAAATTAAAAGTATTACTTGTACTATTTTTGGGGTTCCTTTTAACAATTATAGTGTAATGGCCGCAAAGCCCTCTTCGAAGTATTAAGGATACTTTAGAAGCTGCCCCCACCCTGTAATAGTGACTATAAGGGTTATATCAGGGCCCTATTATATTCCTATTATACCACTATTACAGGGTCTTGGGGCCCCTTCTATCCTAAACCCTAAACCCTAAATCCTAAATCCTAAACCCTAGACACTAAACCCAAAAGAACTCTCTAAGGGGGCCCCTTCTAAAGGATACTACACCCATCTTGAAACCAGGAAGGTCCTCCTGCTTGGGCAAAGGCTATGATGCTGGACTGACCGGGGGAAGTAGGGTTTAGGGTTTAGGGTTTAGGGTTCAGGGATTAGTGGTTTAGGGTGTAGAGTTTAGGGTTTATAGGGTTTAGGGTTTAGGGTGGGCCACAAGAACTCTGTTCTACAAGGGTTCGAGGAGGGTTTACAAGGGTTCGATCACGGTTCATGAGGTTTCTATCAGAAGGGTTCAACAAGGGTTCCAAATTGATATGGATTCTATTACCGTTGTCATGCGGTTTTGCGAGTTCCGAGTGCTGAGCTTTGCTCAAACACTCGTCGGCCGCACATTGCTAAGGAACCCCCAACATAGTATTGGTAATTATTTAGGCCCCTATATTACCATTCTTTCAGCACCCACCTGACTGCTTGTACATCGAAGAGACGCTGAAACCCTAAACCCTAAACCCTAAACCGAAGAGACGCTGGAGCTCAAGGCTGTGCAAGTCGCAGCTGAGGAAGCGGCCACAGAGATGGTTCGCACCAAGAGTCCGCAAGAGTGGGACCTCTTCTTGGGCACAGTGGTTCATAGGAGGCCAAAAGGGCTTTAGCCTATGGCGGTTTACCAGTAGTAGGTGTTTGGGTTCCCATCATAGGGTTCATATTAAGGAATCCCTACCCCAAGAATCTTAAACCCCCCTTTTGGCCTCCCATCAGTGGTGCCCTTCCATGCTGATGACGCACTTCGAGTTCTTCGAGATGCTGGCTTCAGTTGTGCTGGAGGCAGTTGCCTCCACCGACGACGAAGACACCGGTGGGTGGGGTGATAGCCCTTGCCTGGACCCTAAGGAACCTACCTTTTTAGGGTTCCCAAATACGATTTCTTTATATAAGTCCTTAAAAAGGTAGGTTACTTGGGGTTTAGGTTCCCCTAAGCCAGAGACCCACCTAAATGCAGCAGCCCTCATCTGATGAATCCCAAAGGCCGCACAGCCCCAACCTGGAGACACGGTTTAAGGGTTTAGGGTTTAGGGTTTAGGGTTTAGGGGTTTCGGGGTTTAGGGTTTAGGGTTTAGGGTTAAGCGTTCCTTATGTCAAGGCTTCAACGGCACGCTATGTTTTCACCTGTAAATGGTTTCTACTCCACAAGCGCGAAGCTGCAATAAAGGGGGCCTGAAAAACTACCAACACTAACTTTTCCTAAACCCTAGACCCTAAACCCTAAACCCTTACTTTGATTCCGGTAATCCTGTTCCGACGGTTCAGGGCGTTTGAGTAGACCCAGAGCCCAGAACTTAACCAGAACCCTAAATGCAGAGGGCCCGAAACCTCCAGCCCAGCCTAAACCCTGAGCCCCTAAATCCCTAGAACCCTAAACCCTAAACCCTAACACCCTAAAAACCCCAACACCCTAAAAACCCTAAACCCCTAAACCCCTAAACCCTAAACCCTAGACCCCAAAGCCCTAATCCTCGCGCCCCAAGCCGGCCCGGAAGTTCATACGCTACGGTGGATGATGGAAATCCTGCATTACCTTAAGGACCCTAAACAATGGGAATGATGGTATATTTCTTTTTATGGGTAATGGAGGATTTAGATCATCCACCATAATACAAAACCCTGGTGCGTTTTCAAGTAGAACCCTTTTCGAAAGCTTCTGGGACCCATGTAGAAAGCTTTCATAGAGATCCTTAAAGCCAGGACCCTAAACCCAAAGGCCTGAGGCCTAAAACCCTCACACGTCAGAGGTGTGCCTCCTCAAACCCCCCACCTGAAACCCTAAACCCCTAAACCCCTAAACACTAAATCCAAAAACCCCTAACCCCTAAACCCTAAAGCGGCAGGAGCTGAAAACCTTGCGCGAGGCGCAGGCGCGCACGGCCTCCCCCCGCGTGACGCCGTGAGCTCGGTGACTCCGTGGTCTGAGGTTAGGGTTTAGGCTTCAGGGTGTAGGGATTATGGTTTAGGGTTAGTTTGGTGGTTCCTGACAGGTGGAAGGTATCAAGGGTACTGTTAGCGGATACTGGAAAGGTTGGGAAGTGCACAGGTTTGGGATTTCGGGTTCAGGGGTTTTGGGGTTTTGAGGGTTTAGGGCCCTCAGCCGCCCTAAGCCCTAGACCCTATATCCGAACTTCAGACTTACTGCGTTTTTGGCTGATTCTGGGGCATTGAAATTCGAGGTTCAGGGGCTTTGCGGTTTAGGGTTTAGGGTTTCAGGGTTTAGGGTTTAGGGTAGCGGTTTTCATAGAAAAATCAGAACTTAAACAAGCTCGAAACCGCAGATCAGAAGCCGAAGATCCGACCCCTCAAATGGGAGTTTCCGAAAACTAGGGGTACCTTATTTTGAGGTCCTTATAATAAGGATCCTACTATTATGGTACTATTTAGGGTTTTATTTCAAGGTCCCCTATTTTGGGGTGGTTGTCAAAATTATGGTCCCTTTGTGGGTCCTTATTATAATACGGCACATCAAAATTTAAGGCACCCAAAAAGGGACCATAATTTTGTCAACTACCCAAATACCAAATCATCAGCTCAGGCTAAGGTTCAGGCTGGAGGCAGGGTTTAGGGGTTAGGGGGTTTGGGCTTAGGGTTTAGGGGCTTAGGGTTTAGGGTTTCGGGGTTTGAGTTCATGGGTTTGGGGTGGAGATCGTCTGAGGGGTCTTGCAGAAGTGAGGTTGTCGGGTCACAGTTTGTTGCTGGATGGGCGCTTGTAGCATTGAATCCTGAAGACCAGCCTAAGACATCATTGAAACTCCTCGTCCAGGAAAGGGATAGCTCATGGCTCAGTTTTTTACGTTGGTGGTTTCTTTTAGCTTCCACGACAACCGAGGGAATCGCCGGACGGTACGTCACCCCTCTATCCATCCATCCAGCCAGCCAGCCCCCCATCCATCTATCCATCCATCCATCCATCCATCCATCCATCCCTCCTCCCATCCATGCTCCCATCCGTGCTTCCATCCATACATCCATCCATTCATGAGCCCTGTAGCCCCAAGTACGACGAAACATACCAGAACCGACAGGAAGAAAACAAGACTTCCTTCAAACAAGCTTTGGGCAAGGAGTTGTTGTGAGCGGTGCTGCACCTGTCGCTGCGGTCCTGATGGAAGGACACCAGGGTATTTAGAGGTTGAAATACTTGGATCTAGTATCCCCTGTAGCCTTAATATGAATACACTACAACCCCATCCTAAATATTGCTACTCCGGAAGATGCAGCGAAATGCCCGGGTATTTTGAAAGGTGACTATCGGCCTCTTAGCAGTTTTCAGTATGAGCTTCATATGTTGGCACCGACACGGATTCTCAGGAACAAGGAGCTGCGAAAGCATACTTAAAGCATGTTTTGAAAGCCCGCACTCCCAAAACTCTACATGGTAATTCCTAAACCCCATGCCCTATAAACCCTGAACCCGAAACCCTGAACCCTAAACCCCTGAACCCCTGAACCCGCAACCCTAAACCCTAAACCGGGTGCAAAGCTTTAGGAATCGAATTCATGCGGTCTGGGAGGGCCTCGGATTTCCTTGTCGAGAGCCCTGAAAAGCGCAGCTCAGCGATGCCAATCTCCGTCTGAGGTTTCGGGTAATATGATTTGGGTAGATGTAGATCTAGATCTATATGTATGTGTATATATATATATATATAGATGTAGCTGTAGATGTAGATGAAAATCGACGCATAGGGTTCACGGGGGCCGACGGCTGTTTGGGCGTTAGCTGCCGAGCATCGATACTTACGCGCAACCGGCACCCTCGATGTCCACCTGCCTACTCTCACCTTTGGCTAGTAGGGAATGGAAGAATGGTAGTAATAGTAGTTATAAGTGTACCCCATTCCTCCATTCCCTACTAGCCAAAGGTAAGTACTGCGATGCCGCAGGCATCAGGAGTATCTCTAATGACACACTCTACACCAACATCCGAAGCCCTCAGCCCCAAACCCTTTCTGGCCGTCCGTCCTACCTCTACCCTAAACCCAAAACCCTTTTTGTCCGTGGTACCGTCGTACCTAAACCCCCAAACCCTAAACCCCTAAACCCCAAAGCCCCTAAACCCCAAAGCCCCAAAACCCCTAAACCCCAAGCCCCAACACTCTCGGAAGTGCCACAACTGGTGCCGGAGGCCGCGCCGCGGATTGGGCCGGGAGCCGAATCGGGTTACGTCAAAAGTTTCAGATCGGGGCGAATCGTAAAGAGTCCTGATGTAGGGGCCTTAATTTAGCATTTAGGGTTTAGGGTCTAGGGTTTAAGGTTTAGGGCTTGGGGTTTAGGGTTTTAGGGTTTAGGGTGAACTCAGTAATAAGACTCGGGTTCCCTTTTAAAGGGGTCTATGAGGGATACTGTAAGGGATCTCTAAGGGTACTATAGTACAGGGGCCGTCATAATTAGAATATGGTTTTGGGGCCCATTAGGCTATGATTAGAATCAGGAACCCCCCAAAGAGTATTACTTATATGAGTCTGTTTTGATCGTGTCAGGTTTGATGCCGAAACCATGTTATCGTGTTTTGTTATGAAGGCCCCTGTACTTGCTATCAGAACTCCGCTTTTCAAGTTTCGCGTTGAGGCATGGCGCCATCGGTTTAGGGTGAAGGGGTCCAGGGTCTTCAGGTTTTGGGGTGTTTAGGTATTAGGTTTTGGGTTTTAGGGGAAGCGCCGCGGTTGAGAGTTCAGAGCTACAGAGGGTCATCACGCCGCACGCTTTGCCACCATTCTGTACCAGTATCCCAAAGTACAGCCCCGCCCAGATCACAACCACCTGCTATTCCCCGCTTAAGAACCACAGTAACTGCATGACTTGGGAGTTCAAGCGCCCCCCCCAAAAGCCCAGCCGAAGCCACTGCCCTTAACTTCGCTTCAACACCCAACTATTCCTGAGAAAATTCAGAGGGTTGAGGGCAGAGGGCGTGGGGCTTAACAACAATGTACGCTACGGGGCTCCATAATTATCACAGGGTTTTGTGGAACATCAAACTGCATCGTATCACAAAAAAACCCCCAGGGTCAAACTCCTGAAGATCACCTTTTGGTTAGTAGGACCTGTCCAGGTTTAGGGTTGAATATTGCATGCTGGGCAGCCCTCTGTGTGTTTAGGAGGTATTCTGCAGGGCCGATTCCGTGGGGTCTCAGGATATTGAAAACTAATCATTAGATCTCGCAGCATGCAGGGCCCCAATAAGCCCTGAAACGTAATAGGATTTGGAGTTTCCGAAAATAGGGGACCCTAATATAGTACCCTAAATAGTAGGACCCTTTTTCTAAGGACCCCAAAACAGGGTACCCCCAATCTTCGGAAACCCTCATTTTAGAGCTGCAGAACTTCGTGGTTCGGGACGGGCCCTGAATAGAACGCTCTCGGTGCACAGTACCCAGAGACCCCAATATATCCCTTAATTAAGGAATATACCTTAAATTATAGTAGGATCCCTTATATGATTTAAGGTATATTCCTTAATTTAAGGGGTATCGGAGTCTCTGGGTAATTATACGTCCGAAACCGTCTAAAGCCAGACAAGCTGAGGCCATTTGTAACCCGTTCGAAGCCGCGGTTGCATGTCCTCACTGGCGAGAGCTGTCGTGCAGGGAAGGAAATGCATGATGATTCCCTAAGGGTTTGTTTACCCATATAGAGATACATGAGCCCCTAAGTACCTGTATAGGGACTACATTAAGGCCAATGTATATACTATATGAGTACATGCACGCTTAGGGATTTTGGTGAGGGGACTCCAAGTTCGGATACATGTGGTGAGGTCATGGGTTATGTAGTTCAAGGTTATAATCAACGTCAAATCCAGCCACCTACTGTACTATAACCCCTAAATCCTGAACCCCCTGAGCCCAAAACCATGGCAGCCCCCCTAAACCCTAAACTCTAAACTCTAAACCCTAAACCCTAAACTCTAAACCCTAAACCCCAAACCCTACAGCCAAATTCCTTGCGTTTCTGCCAAGGCATCCGAGACAGGCCGGCGCTGTGAGAGCATCTTCTTCTCTCTGGGCTCCCAGAGACTCCAATATCCCTCAATTAAGGAATATACCTTAAACCATGTAAGGGGTCCTACTATAATTTAAGGTATATTCCTTAATTATAAGGGATATTGGAGTCTCTGGGCTATGTACGCATATACGGGTGGTTGTCAAAATTATGGTCCCTTTTTGGGTACCCCAAATATTAGTTGCCGTACAAGAAATAAGGACCCACAAAGGGACCCTAATTTTGACAACCACCCATACATCTACATCTCATCAACATGTCGGATTACTGTTTATGGCTCAGGATGTAGGGTTTATTGGGTCATCACTAGCTATCACCTGGTTATCATATCTTACCATATCTTATCAGGTCCTGTCCTATCCTGTCATACCGTATGATATGAGTTCGTATCGTGTCGTATCCTATCATACCATATCCGATTAGAATGTATACGGCCGTAGATACGTTTATCATATAGGGTACATGCACATCTCATCAATATCCTCCTCCTTCTCCTCATCCTCCTCATCATCATGACATGATTTGTCTTCCTCTTCCTCTGCATCTTTTCCTGATCTTCATAATCTTCGTCTTTTTCATCACCAGGCTTCATTCACACAGTCAGCAGCGTCGCCACCAGCATCGGGAACACCATCACCATCAGCACCATCACCATCGCCATCATCATCGTCATCACCGTCATCATCGTCATCACCATCATCACCTTCACCGTCATCATCATCATCATCATCATCACTACATGATCATCATCTTCATTACCGTCTTGATCCTGACATTCCTATTCCTCTTGCTCTGCATCTTATCCTCATCTTCGTAACCCTCGTTATTTTCATCATCAGGCTTCACACAGTCATCATCGTCGCCGCCGGCATCATCACCATCACCATCGCCATCAGCTCCATCATCATCATCATCATCATCATCATCGCCAACTTCACCTTCATCATTGTCGTCATTAGCATCATCATGGTTATTCATAGTTGGATTTCGATCATTGTGACTTCTCGATCATTGGTATTGAGGTTCTGAGTACGCTTGAACTTGTTATTGCTGCTGTCACATTTTGCTGGCTTTGTCATTGCTATCGTTCTCGTAGCTGTTATCGGTATCGCTGCTACGACTCTTGCTTTCTTATTGCCAATTTTGCTGTGGTTGTTATGTTTGATATTCGGATGCTGAAAATGATGGTTTTCATGATGATGGCTGTGTAAATATATGTAATTATCGTTGTGAGCGTTGCTAGTATTGTTGAAATTAGAGTATAGTGCGGTTCCTTGATCGGCATCCTTCCTCGAGGGTTGTTGGAGTTTAGAGGCCGGACTAAGGGGGGCCGCGTAAAGTATGCAGGGCTCCTTGTTACGATTTACGTAATCTTCCGGACTTGAGCTATTAAATGCTGTAGGTGGTGATGCGTTTTCTCCCGGGGGTTTAGGATTCTGTCTTGCCGAGAAGGTGCGGGTAGGGTCATTCAGTTCTAGGTCTAGTTCCAGGTATGCTGCCGGGACAACTGCTCGTTACTTTGCTTGCCCGGGCCGTAAACTGACCCCGGAACCAAAGCCTGCAACCCTAAATCCAAAACCCGCCATCTTAGTCCTACGCCCTAGAACGCTAGAGCCACACAGGAGTTCTAGCTGTATCTGCAGGTGGAAAGAGCCATTGAAAAAACGAAAATAAGAATAAAGCCCCGAAGCCCTGGAGGCCTCAATTCTACAGACTGACTAGCCATGATCCTCCACCGAAGACAATGCCTGAGCCCGCCTCTACCCCCTGCTACTGTACTCTCTTAACCACGAAGAGAGCCACAGAAGTCCAAAGCCTTAAACCCCTTTGCAGCAACACCCTAAGCCCTAAACCCTAACCCTAAACCCCTAAACCCCTAAACCCCTAAACCCCTAAACCCCTAAACCCCTAAACCCTAAACCCTGAATGCTCTCAGGTGGTCTCCGCAGGCCCCCCAATCATCTCCAGCGCTCAGCACAGTTCAGGGCAGCCCTGAGACGGGTCGCGTCGCCCGCGGGTGGGGGCCTCGGCATTCCCGGGGTTTAAAAACGGGGCCTTAATGATTAGACTAGGGTTCCTTTAAAGGGTTCTTAAAACGGGCCCTACTGTTGATGACATAAATCCTGCATTACCCATACTAAGGAATACACCATAATTCCCATGGTTTAGGGTCCTTAAGGTAATGCAGGATTTATATCATCCACCGCACTAGGGTAACTTTCTAGGGGGGCATTTTTGGGTAGAAGGGGCCTCAGGGGATCGAATATAATTACCAACACTAGTTTGGGGATTCCTTTAAGTGCTCCTTTAAGGGGGCCTATAAGGGATCTATACTGAGGTTCTATGGTTTTGCGGGGCTTTCAGAATGACCTATTATATTATTCTGGGGCGTCCTTATGAGAATTATAGTCCCCATTCTAATTGTTAAGGCCCCTACATTACGTAAGCGGTCTCAAACGATCGCATATAGCAGCCTGGTTGATTGATAATACTGTTTCTTCATGCAGCTTTCGTATTATGAGTCTACCACTACGACTACTAATACTCTACTACTACTACTACTACTACTACTACTACTACTACTACTACTACTACTACTACTACTACTACTACTACTACTACTACTACTACTACTACTACTACTACTACTACTACTACTACTACTACTACTACTACTACTACTACTACTACTACTACTACTACTACTACTACTACTACTACTACTACTACTACTACTACTACTACTACTACTACTACTGACTACTACTACTACTACTACTACTACTACTACTACTACTACTACTACTACTACTACTACTACTACTACTACTACTAGTACTACTACTACTATTACTACTGCTACTACTACTACTACTACTACTACTACTACTGCTACCACTACTATTACTACTACAGCAGTATGCGAGGTTTGCAGGTTGCAGCTTCGGGTTCCTAGGGTTTAGGCCCGTAGACCTGGCAGTTTTGCAAGTTTGCAAGCCCCCTGAAGGCTAGAAGTGTTCCTTTTTGTCGACACCGTGCAGAACCGAACCCCGGATAAGATCCGTTTAGGGTTTAGGGTTTAGGGACCTATGCAAAATTCGACAAAGCACTTGCACGGGAACATTGCGAACATCAGACCCCTAGCGGATATAGAACCCCCCTGGGCAACCCTCAAGCCTCACAAAGCGTCCGAGGAAGTCGAGCGCTTCGATGACCTCGTCCCCCTCCGGCTTCCTGATGCCTACCTACAGCTCCTTTGCGGCAGAGAGCAGGGGTTTCCGAAATAGGGGACCCTAATATAGTACCCTCAATAGTCGGATCCTTATTCTAAGGACCCCTAAATAAGGTACCCCAAATTTTCGGAGACTGTCGGTTAGACTTTAGAGTGTAATGTAGGAACCTGATTAAGAAACCTTGGGCCTTTATTAGGGTTCCTTGTATGAATCCTACTATTTTGGGGTTATAGGGCCAGGGTTTCTTAATCAGGTTCCTACATTAGGAGAGCAGCAGTCTATACAGCGGCCTAAACAGGTAGCACAATACTATATAGTTCGTATGGTTCCACCATCCACAAAACTCTTCTCGAGTCTTCTCTGATTCCTCAGGCCTGTATATGAATCCAAGTAATTCCGACATTTCATTATGGAACCTTTTTGTAATGTTTAAAGCCTTCAACCTATCATACACTCCAACCTTATTGCAGGTGCGGGTCCGAACACGACGTTCTTCAGCCCAATTGAAAAACCTAACCCAAGCTTCAAAACCCTGAAACCGAGTTTGACCGGTAGACAAACTCCAATCATTCGCAGTACAGGCTTACAGCTCTTCCAGAACTATACTATAACTATAAGCCTGCAAAGCCCTGGTTAAGTATCATGGGCTCTATACTTGATTGTCGGGGTTTCCGGGTTAGGGGCGTCATGTAACGGACTTGAAACTTCCGGAGCTTGGCATGGAGGGGGCGCTCTATGGGCTGTGGTTCAGGGATTGGGGTCCAGGGATTGCTGGCTTGTTTTTTTGGCGGCCTCGTTAGAGGGCTGTGGGTCTTGAGGAACTAGATGTTGTATTAACTGGTCAACATACGTTGAGCCTTTCCCTGTATCTGCGGTCATAAGCCATCGGCAAACCTTCATTGCAAAGGCCTTCTTCGCCGGCCCGTCCCAAACCTACACTCTGAATCCCGAACCACAGTAGATTTACCCCTGGGCCCTAAACCCCGGACCCTAAACCCTGAATCCTAGGTCCCAGACCCTGACCTCTGAACCCAAAGCCCTCGACCCTTAATACCCCCGAGCCGACGGCCCAACACTTACCGCCCTCGTCGCCTTGGCTTTCACCACTTTTCGTGGACTCGTTGACCCACCCGGGGGCACCTCTGTGGGAGTTGGACTTCGAGCGTCTTTAAGCAATCCAACACAAATCGTTTTCGCTGTTCTGCCCTGTATACTAGGCCGTCTACCCTAAGCCCTGCTTTATTGTTGTTACTTGTCTACGCCCCCAAACCCTAAACCCTAAACCGCCCCAGCTGCAAAGCCCATTTTTCGTGGAACGCCTCGAGCCCGAAGCCTGCCGCGATCATGTTTCGGCTCGCAACTCTCGAAGAGAATAAAAGATATGCGTCAAGAACTATAGCTCCTAGAACAAGGGTTCCTTTAGTAGGTTCGATATAGGGGGTATTGTAAAGGACACAGTAAGCGTGGAATGCAGAATGGCGAGTATTATTGTTAATTACTTACTTTAGTCCTTTGGGTTCCTCAGTATAACTATGGTGTTACAGAGGCCAAGTCAAAGTTCTAGTTCTAATTCTCAAGGCCCCTACATTAGGCACCCCCAAAGACCCTGAAACCCGAGCTCCAGATCCAGGCAACCGATGGTTTTGGTGGGTCCTAGGGAGCCCTGTCCCCTGCCGGAGGCCTGACCCCGGCCCCCCCACCTCTGTTTTGTGGCGTGTGTAGCCTGGTGCAGCCTTCCTGCCCCCAACAGACAGACCAGGGGCAGGTGGGAATTGAGGGCGTAAGCCCTAAACCCTAAAAGGCAATATTTTGGGTGGTAGCCTGTGTACTCTCACAGCGGGTGGGAAAAGGTTAGGAACCAATGTGTACTTGTTTGGTGGTAGAATCGCATTCGAACGCTAGACGTAGATATGCCGCCCCCCCACGCCTGGGGCGCCATCCTACATAGAAAATACTGCCGCTGCGCCCTAAACCCTAAACCCTAAACCCTTGAACCCTAAACCTGCACCTCTACAGCCGCAAGTCTGGCTGGATAGCTGGAGCCCTGAGGCATGACATCCAGCGCCTCGGGAATCAGGTGCGACCAGGACTAGGGCCCAGAGTAGGCCCTTATTCCCTTTTTTGGGGTTGAGGTTCCCTTATAAGAACCTTGAAACCAAAAAGGGCACCCTTTTTATTCCTAGGATACTCTTGGGTCTAGAGGAAAGGTTGCAGGTTAATACGGAGGCCAATTATTGTGGGGCTTTAAAACAAGGGTAGATGTAGAGTGTATTGCTGTAAGAAAATTGAAAAGGGTTTTGGGGCCCATTATACTTAAGGAACCCCCCAAAACAGAAAAGGGAGCTATTAAGGCCCCTATATTAGGCACCGAAGTTCTACTCTTAGGAGATGAGGCCCATAGACGTCAGCGCTTGGTCTGGGGTCTGTTGTTTACACGGTAACCCTCGACCACAAGGAGCTCATACAGCTTGTGGGATCAGGGTTTAGGGATAAGGCGCTTGAGGTTCCAGCTCCAGGCCGGAACCCGAAACCTAGCCTTGCAAGCTGCAACCAGGGAAGACTGGTCCCTCCCTCTCTCTCTCGCTCGCTCTCTCTCTCTCTCTCTCTCTCTCTCTCTCTCTCTCTCTCTCTCTCTCTCTCTCTCTGTGTGTATATACATATATATATATACACACATGTGTATATGTAGCATACAAGCATATGAATGTGTATACATGGGTTGATGCCTGTTTCGCTCTTGCCACAGCCGATACATGACGATAGGGCCACGTGCTATAACTTCAGACCTCACTACCCAGAGGCCCCAAAGTAGTTCCTTTTTGGGGTTCACAAATAGAATCCTATAAGGTATTCCCAAAAAGGAACTACTTTGGGGCCTATGGGTAGCTGAGGCTTGCAGCACCCACTTCTCCTTGGCTTTCGTCAGGTCTGGTATGAAGGACCTCACTAGCAGCCATGTAGAGATTTGAGGTGCCTTCCTGAAGCTGCTTGGACCGCCGACCCTCGGTATTCTCTCAAGCCCAAAATCAACGGATGGGCAAGAAAGACGGCGTCCCAAAACCGCCCCGTCTCCTCATCGCCGACGGCGGACGAGGGCCAGGTCATGGCGTTGTTAAACATTTCCTGGATTGAGCGAAGCCCTCTCAAGAAGTGCAAATCGCGCTCCGGCAAGGGCTTGCTTGAAGATGCTGCGAAAGCCGTTGCACCCAAGGCTGGACATAAAGGTTCCATTGGCCTGCACTGTGACGTCCCTGCTCGTGGAAGGTGACGGCTCAGCATGGGACACCTGCTGCAGACCCGAGATCGGGCTTGCGCGGAAATCATGATCATTACCCAGAGGCCCCAAAGTAGTTCCCTCATGGGGGTTCATATAGAATCCTATAAGGTATTCCCAAAAAGGAACTACTTTGGGGCCTCTGGGTAAGCACATCGGAACTGTGCTGGGGTTTAAGGCACAGCGATTCTCAGCCGCGTACCCAATCCGGCTCTGGTTCTGCTCCAAGCCTGCACAGCAGTTTATTGACGGAGATCTGGTCGCAGGGGCACTTCAGAGTGAAATTGGATACTTTACATAATTTTGTGTTGCGGATCTGCAGCGTAGCACAAAGTCCCGGAGGGCTACCAGTTGGCTCATTCCGTTGGTGTGTCGGCATGGAAGCCCACGGCGTGGAAGGGTGTTTCTGATCGGGATGATCGTGTGGCCGAACGTGCCCGAAACTAGTCGCACATGCCCCGGAACCTAAATCCATGCCCTGAAGGCCCTACACTCTAGAGGCTTGAACCAAAATCCTCGGCACTAATGGTTTTACACCCCAGGACCGCATGATTGTGTATTTGGGTTTCGGATAGTAGAAATTTAGGTTGGTATTTGGGAGAGTAAGTGATAATGAAGCATTTGGAGCCTTGTGGGGAGCTGTACCAGAACCCGTATAGAGCCATTATTGAATAACCCCTGTAAAGCACCCTGCGCGGACATTTGTAAGACCCCTACAAAAGTCTAACAAAATCCTATAAGACCTCCCTAATAAGATACAATCAATCCTATACGAACCCTGATAGAACAGCCTGACGCAACTGATAAAGCCTTTCGGAACCCTTTTGTGCCATCACAAGCCCTTAAACCCCAAACCCTAAACCCTCAACCCTTAAGCCTAAACCACAAACCCTCAACCCTAAACCCCAAAAGCCCAAATGGGTCGAGGCGGCCATCCGCCGGCCGACTGCAGCCGCTCGGTCCCAGCCCGGATCCCAGCTGTCAAAACCGTCCCCGGGAGGTTCCCTTTCAGGGATGCCTAGGGTTCCTTGTAAAGGGGGTTCCTTTAAGGTTCCTTTAAGGGTTCCCGTAAGGTTTCTTGGAGGGATGCCTAGGGTTCCTTTAAGGGCTATAGGGTTCCTTTGTAAGGGCTACCTAGGGTTCCTTTAAGGGCTATAGGGTTCCTACCTACTTGGAGGATCATGGGACTTGGTAAGTAAGGTTAAAAGTACTCTAATTGGGGTTATAAGTATAGTTATCCTAATTATAACCCTAGTTACTACGTCCCATGATCCTTTAAGTAGGGTGCTTTAAGGGCTACCTACCTAGCAGGGTTCCTTTAAGGGCTAGCTAAGGGTTCCCCTAAGGTTCCTTCAAGGGCGGCCGCCTAGGGTTCCTTTAAGGGTTACCTAAGGTTCCTTTAAGGGATACCTAGGATTTTAAAAAGGGTTCCGTCAAGGGTTACCTAGGGTTCCTTTCAGGACTAGGAGTCCTTTCCTGGGAGCTAAAGAAGGTAGATGAAACAAGGGAATGTACAGACTTTTCAGGGTCATATCCTGTTTTTGAGAGCTTTGAGTGCAGGGCCTCATCGATCCAGTAGAGGAAAGCACGAACTGCTGCAGTTGTTCACATCAATGTTGGCCTTTTTGCTTGCACCCAGCAACTTGTGCAATGTAATCCTGTCGCATAAACAAGCAAGCCGGTTTCACTTGTAACCAATGATGAAGACGATGTTGAAGATGAAGCACCCACCACAGGAGCCTATATATAATGATATACCAAAAGCCCGGCATGAGACAGACTAGGGTAGCAAGCTTATACCTAAGCTTAGTCTTGATTTGCTCTTCGGTGCAATGTCTGACAATTTCAGCGACGAGGCAATCGCTAAGATTTTGGGGAGGAAGAGGAGGAGGAAGCAGTCAGCGATGCTTCATCAGAAGCATCATCCACACTGTTCAACATCAACGAGCTCATTGACCATGGCGATGTTCTCAACTTGCATGAGTTTCTTGAGACCTTGGAAGCTGAGGCGTACAACCTGAATACAAAAATTCATATTCCTGAGGGTTGAGGGTTTCGGGTTTAGGGTTTAGGGCGTAGACAATGACACACCCCACACCGCAGGGTGTAGGCTTTTGGGTTGCGGGGATCTAGTTCAGGTTTAGGGATTTCGTGTTTTACGAGTTTTTGAGACTTTTTCGGTTTCAGGATGCAGAATGTTTGGATTTCGAGGATTTCGGACTCAGCAGGGGCCAGGGATTTTGACATCAAAGCACCGTTCAGCACGCAGGGTTACAAATCGCCAGATATGGGTCATAGTGGGTGTGTTAGTTGATAGCACGGAAGGTGAAGGTCACCGGGTCTCTCCAATCGTTGCTCCGAACTTTCGAACCTAGACGCCAAGTAGTAGGAGAGCAGTAGGATACGTAGTCTCAGCTTCCCATCACGCGGGCCCCTTGTTTGATCCGTCTTATGTGTCCCTGAATGCTGCACCCTAAACCCTAAACCGCCGGACCAAACCTGAAACCCTCTAAGCCCTACATGGGCCCCCCTAAACCCCTAAACCTGAACCGCCACCCTTAAACCCGTGAGCGCTGAAGCCTAAAGTCCTAAGCCGAAATCTTCGCCCCGCCTGCCCGAACCATAGCGGAGACTCCCCTGTCCCCAAATTCGAACATGTTTAATGTGTGGGGTTTGGGCGCTTCGGGCTTTAAGTTTAAGAGTGCCTCCTCTGCCATTGATTCCTGTTGATGATATAAATCCTGCATTACCCATAATAAGGAATATACCATAGTTCCCATGGTTTAGGGTCCTTAAGGTAATGCAGGATTTACATCATCCACCGTCCTAAGCATCTCCGCTCGTCGTATTAACTACTGTGGCACTGCACGGCCCAATCAGGGGAGCGAGGGCGGAAGCAAATGGCAGTACCCATAGGCCCCAAAGTAGTTCCTTTTTGGGATTACCTTATAGGATTCTATATATGAACCCCCAAAAGGAACTACTTTGGGGCCTCTGGGTAATCGTAGAAATGACAAGTTCCTACTGCTAACCAGTGGTTTTGGGGGTTCCCTTGGCTCTTTAGCTCCTTATATAATAGGGATTATCATCATCCCTGGCTCCTTAGCTCCCCCAATATCAATGGCTAGAAAGTGCTTTGCGGTAGCAGAAGTAAGAACGCAGAATAGAATCTACCTAAGCATAAGTTAACCGAGCTGCAGGCCCAGGTAATTCTTTGGATCTGGGCCGCTGGCCCAGCATCGCTTGTCCCTCTTGAACGTAGGCTTTGCGGAACAGGCTTCCACTACACTGAAAAACCTAAATCCCTTTGACAACGCAGCTTCTGGGGTGACCATGTTATCATATTGTGCACCGGTATTTCCGAGGCTTTCCAAACCCACAGCAATGGTGGAGGGCTTGAGACGCGATTTGAAGAGTGTTTCGCTTAGGTTGTTACTGCGTGTTACAGATTAGGAGCTGTTTTTTCTTTACGAGGGCTGAGAGGTTTAGGTGAATGGAGTTTAGCGGAGTCCGGTGGGGCCGGCATTTAGGGATTTTGCTGCAGATTTGCAGCTTTGGGGCTTCAGGAGGTTTGTGGTTTAGGGTTTAGGGTTTAGGGTTTAGGGGTTTAGGGTTTAGGGGTTTAGGGTTTAGGGTTTAGGGTTTAGGGGTTTAGGGTTTAGGGTTTAGGGGTTTAGGGTTTAGGGTTTAGGGTTTAGGGTTTTGGGGTTGGCTATGAGGCTTCGGTGCTCCTGTGTAGGGCTTTGGTTTCGCGTTTGTTGAGTTCTGGTTGTTGGAGGGTTGTGGTCGAACGCCAGAGTCCGCTTTAACTCCTCACATGTGAAATACCGAAGCTCCCTTAAACTCTTAGCCCCTCTACCCCAAATCCCAGTTGGGTTCCCTAGTAGTGCCCTTTTGCACCTTGTTCTTCTCGTTATTCAAACCGAACACTCGGAAGAAAGGTGCCCTTGTTATTAAGGCTGACGCGGGAGCCTAGTCAGAAACCTAAAGCCTAAATTCCTTTAAGCCCTAAACCCTAAAAGCATGAACAGTAAGCCCACAAAGCCTCGTATGCCGAGGCAGTTGGGCTGTCTCGCAAGAGTTGAGACCCCGACGTGCGGCACCACCGCCAAGTCCACATGCAGGCGGCAGCGTTTGCTCAGCATTAGGGCTTGCGCTCGTTTTTGGTTCTGTGGGCTACTTTCAGTTCAGAGATTCAGGATTCTATCCGCTTTAGGGGTTCTGCTGCAGGGTGCTGGGCTTGTGGTTGGTTTGATTAGTTGGGGTTTCGGGATTTTGGTGTTAGGGTGTAGGGTTTCGGGTTTATGTTTGGCACTTTCTAGGGCTTATACAAGACCTTATCGGTTTCTACAGCAGTAAGGGTGCTACAGGCTACAGGGCTTCCCCACCTGAGAAATGTATAGGGTCCACTGCGGCTTGTATGCGAACCATGGCTGCTATGGGCATTTTCCGCAAGCTTGTGGTTGTATGGAAGCTTTGTTTTGGTTTTGGTTGCTCTTACTAGTAGAGTAGGGAACCTTTAACTTGTTTGGGTACTACAATCCCTTTATAGTCCCGTCCCAAAGGCGAAGCTTTAGTACCCTGGGATATTGAACAGTCAGTGCCTTGCGGTTTGCAAGACCTACAGTATGGAGGCCGGGGAGTTTTCAGTATTAACACTACATCTTCGGGCTGGTTGAGGTTGTCTTCATCCGATGCCGCCGGTGCATCCAGCAGGTGACTCAAGCCCTTGGACGGCCATTTAATGTAGGCACTTGAATAGTTCGACCTCCATCGAAATCCTACGGGCTTAAGCAGCACCTGGAACCCCGGCACCTGCAATGGTTGTGATTGTATAGCCAATGAGACTACTGAAGAGACTGAGGAGATACAAGTATACATAGCTAAGTTGTAGCCACAAATACAAATACACCGTTAAGTAACTGAGTCTCTCTATCTCATCTCATCAGACCTAATTCGTCGTAAACTCTCTATCCACACATACGATCCTACATACACGCATACATACAGACATACATACTTACGTACATACATACATACATACATACATACATACATACACACACACACATAATTATACATTGATTACATCAAGAACTCAGGCAACACTATGTGCTTAAGCTCAGCCAAATAGAGGAAATCCACGCGATATATGGAGCAGGATGACAGTGATGAAGTGCTATTTCTAGTCTGCATGTTTTGCGATCAGAGTCGTCCAGTTAAATCACAGCACTTGTTGAGAACAAGACGAAGTCGCGCAATCCCAAACCCTGCAGTAAACTGCCCTAGAGATCAGGAATCCAAATCCGATTATCCCCTTAAGCCATGATCTGCGCCCACCCCCTACTCTAGTCAAATTTAGCTCCTTCTAGTGGTTTTCTTGGGGAGAGCACCTGAGTCCCGCTCCTTGACACAGGTCCCGTTCGTGAGGCGCGCGCAGGGAGCGAAGATTCTGTCAGGGACTTTAGTTTAGGGTATTGGGTTTACGGTCTGTGTGTGTGTGCGCGCTTTTCCAGGGTCCTTATCACCAGGGTTCCTACTTGTTGCCAGGTGCTGTGGCTTTGCATTAGGTGCTTAGGAAAGGTAACCCGGCTGAATTTTGCCGAGACAGTCCCGAAGTTTGATGTGGGAGTTTCCGACAATTTAGGGGTACCTTGTTTTTTTGGGTCCCTATTATAAGCATCCTATTTTAACGGTATTATATTAGAGTCCCCTATTTGCGGAAACTCCCATGCTTCAAGGATGACAACCGAAGGCTTGACTGTGAGTTTAGGGTTTAGGGGTTTAGGGCTGAGGGTTTAGGGATGACCCTAAGGGTCCATGTTTTCATATGGGTGGTTCTCAAAATTAGGGTCCCTTTTTGGGTCCTTAATATAATACGGCACCTAATATTTAGGGTACCCAAAAAGGGACCCTAATTTTGACAACTACCCATATAGCATATACTTTGCCTTTACTGTAAGGCCAAAGTATATACTCTATGGGTTACACGGACCCTGAGGGCCTTAGGGTGAGCTCAATGTTTCGGACTGGCGTCTTCGGGTTTCCGGACTAGAGGATTCATGGGGTCATGGGGGTTTAGGGTTTAGGGTTTAGGATTTAGGGTTTAGGGTTTAGGGTAGAGTTTTGGGTTTAGGGGTTTAGGGGACCATGAGGGGTGATCATAATGAACGACTCATTGGCTAACTATTCAGACAGATATATGCGACTGCAAATCGCCACACCTGGGGTGTTTGCAACCCCAGCACATAGATTGAAGGCAGAGAACTTTCGAAGCCGGTTCATATCCCGCTGGGAAGATACGGGCCACTCGGTTTCGGGTTTGGGGTAGCTTTTGTCTACAAAGTCTAGAGTTTCGCGCATCGGGGTTGGAATAGTCCTAAGTAGGGCGTTTCCCCCCAAAACATCATGTTCTAGAAACTTCCACATGTCGCCCGAGAAGGCGTTGGAGGTCATGAGTCTTGGGCCAATAAGCGATTATGAGGGTCGGAGGACGTAGCAAGTAAGTTCATCATAGGAATGTACTTATAGTTACATCTAAGTACCCAGCCAATGAACACACTTATCCGCGTGCTTGCTAGCTCCCTGCATCATTAAGAGTAAACCCCAAAAAGTTGGAAACCGGATTAAGGCCAAGTGCTGCTGGGATTCCCCTGTACAATACTCTTAAGGATTGAGGCTATAGGGTTTCCAACTTTTGGGCTTCTACTGTAAGAGTAGGGTGGTTTGGCTCTGAAATTCAAAGGGAGAAGGGCGATGCTTAAACTCATGGCAAACGATTTCGGCGTGCGTGGTTGATGTCTGGGGGCCAAGATCTGAACCGAACCCTAAACCCCCAAACTCGGAAGCCTAAAGCCTGAACCTTAAACCGCAAACCCTGAACCCTAAACCCTGACTTCCAAACCTACAAGCGAAGCCCGAAATCCTACACCCGACCCGGCCTTCGACAAGCCCACGCGCGAAATCAACCGAGGGAGCCTCTAAGTAGGCGTTGGGTTCGGGTTTGGGGTTTAGGGTAGGGGTTTAGGGTCTGGGTTGAGGGCGAAGCGGGGCTTATACGTGAAGTAAAGTTTTGGTTTTGGGCAGCTTCTTCAAGCCAAGTTACCCTGTTTAGCCCTTTCTAGACCATGTGACTTTTGAAGTATTTAGGCTCCAGCAACCTATAGAACCTGCACAAAACCATGAAAGCCCATGGAAACCCGATAATACTCGTCAACGTTCGCTAGAATCTAGCTAGAAATCCTGCGAACGGTAAGAACCCAATTGAAGCCGTATGAAACTTACGAAGGAGACGACTACCTCAGAGGCCAGCAGCTCCAATGCCAAATCCTCATCTCAGGATAAGGGGGTCTTCGGTTTAGTGTTTGCTGTTTTGTGATGTATGTGTGTTTTTCCCTTTTGCTAGGGTTTCGCAACGCTTGCAGCCAAACGCGGGCTTCTCGGAAAGGAGGCATTTACACCAAGAGTCCGATAAATCGTGTAGGAGATCTGCCTCTTTCAGCACTTCTTTTCACGGAGTGCTGTCCTAAACCCTAGACCCTAAACCCTAAGCCCCTAAGCCCTTGTACCTTGTAGCTGCTGACCTTGGGGCAGATGCAAAAGGGAGCTTAACAAAAAGCCCCAAGCCCTCTTGCAAGATGCCTTCGGCTGACTGCGCATCAGAGCCCGTCTATTCACTATTGGCGGTTAGCGAGCCTCAACGCCAACCGAGCCTCAATCCCACCCAGACCCGCAATTATAGTTCCGTGCTGGTTGGGTTTAGGCTTTAGGATTTGTTTCGAATTTCGGGTTTTGTTTGTTTAGCACGAAAAACAAGAGGAGCATCAGGAATCAGCAATGGCAATGGTCATCATGACAATCCCAGTAGCTGTGATCTTAGGATCTTGCTCAGAGACATGGTTCGTTGACCAAGAATATATTCAAAGGCCTAAGGTGAGCCCCGGTCCTGCAGTCGTACCCTTCGAGCCTGCGCTTTTGAGCAGTAGCAAGAGCTTTCTCAGTTAGTAAGGCAATCTAGGAATCTAGTAGGTGTATTCTTGTCTTAATTCCGGGGACGTTGGGGAGCCAAGAGATAAACCCAGACTTGGCACCGACTGCTCCGTCCGATGCTAAGGCGGGCGCGGGGACGACGATAGAAAGAGATGCGGCCGGGCACTCAGTGCAATTATTCTCAATCCTCAAGGTGATTCTCGGCTTTGTCAGCACCATTGTCATCGTCGTCACTGTCTCCGGAACGGTTGATGATATAAATGCCATATAAATCTGCATTACCTTAAGGACCCTAAAGTATGGGAATTATGGTATATTCCTTATGATGGGTCAGGCAGGGTTTATATCATCAACCGAAGCATCATCATCAGCAGCATCAGCCTCGAATCGGGCTCTTGTTTCATTGCAGGATCATGCTGAGGCTTCCGGACAAAGCATACATGAAACTCCAGGTCTTAGGGTTTAGGGTTTAGGGTTTCAGGAAGTGGAACTCTCCAATCATCCTTAAACCCTTGTAGAACGGTGAGAAATTCCGCAGAAGAGCTTCATAGCCTGGTAATCCTTTTGGACACCCTGACCACCTTGTAAAGCCCTGTAGCGCAAAGGGCTAGCTCTTGAAATTAGGGCCCCGTTTGATTTCCCAAGTATAGTATATACTAATAGTTTCAGTCTCAGTAGTAGTAATAGTAGCAACAAAAAGAACAATGATAATCGTACTAGTACCCATAACCACAATAACAGTAATAACTGCAACATAAAGAACAACAAAAAGAAGAACAAGACGACTAATATAGGACTGAGACTAAGAAGAAGAGTTGTAATGATGAAGAGGAACAACATAAAGGTTATTGTTATTCTTACTTTTGTGTTTCTTGTTATCATTATTCCTCTTGTGATTGTTATATTTATTATCATTGCTATTGTTGTTGACATAGTATTGTTGTTATTCCTATCAACCCCTAAACCCCAAACCCCAAACCCTAAACCCCTAAACCCTAAACCCTAGAGCTCAACAAAAAAAGAACCCTAAACCCTAAACCCAAACCCTCCGAAACCCTGGCAAGGCCGCCCGTCTCCGCGGCATCCTCACCACGGCCTCACGGGGTCGGAACTCGTCGGCCCCGACGCCGCTGATCGCGTCTTGGTTTAGGTTTTTTTGAGTTTATGGGGCTTTATGGGGTTTATAGGGTTTATGGGGCTTATAGGGGTTATGGGGCTGATGGGGATTATGGGGCTTATGGTGTTTATGGGTTTATGGGGATTATAGGGTGGATAGGGTTCTTGGGTTTACGGGGCTTATAGGGTTTTAAGGCTAGATGCTTAAGGGTTTAGGGTTTCATTAGGGCCCTCGGACTAGTCTGGCTTTCATCTTATGGCCCATTTTTTAAGGGGGGAACGATCAGTCAACCCTGCAGGACCCACATCCTCAGCTTTCGAAGCTTAAGCCCGGTTGTCAAAATTATGGCCCCTTTTTGGGGTACCCTAAATTTTTAGGTGCCGTACAAAATTAAGGACCCAAAAAGGGGACCCTAATTTTGAGAACCTACCCCTATACACCTCGGAGCCGGAGCCGGAAACCGTAAGCCTTAAGCTCTACCCAGAGGCCCCAAAGTAGTTCCTTCTTGGGGTTCATAATATAGAATCCTATAAGGTAGTCCCACAAAGGAGCTACTTTGGGGCTTGTGGGTAATGCCTAGACATTGTGGGGGTTCTGCGTAAAACTTCGAGTTTCAGAGTGGAGCTGTGGCTATTTTGACATGGAGCGGTAGCGAGTTGGGCGGTTGTCAAAATTATGGCCCCTTTTTGGTTTGGATCCTTATTATAATACGGCACTCAATATTTAGGGTACCCAAAAAGGGGCCATAATTTGAAACGCTGCGCGTCGTCCGCCTCGGCCCGGCTGTACGGGCATGCGGCGAGTGGCTAGTATCTGCAGCAAGCTGGTTAGGTCTTCGGTAAAACAGACTTTTGGTCTCAGAAACAAACTTTTAACACCAGGAACAGATATTCACGCTGACAAACAAATAAAGGGTTTGAGGGTCTTCGGGTTTAGTGGTTCCTGGGTTTAGGGTTGGGGTTTTGGGCCCTAAGATGTAGGGGTCTAAGGGTCGAGGCTTAGGGGGTTCAGGGTTTTGGATTTTATTAAGTATGGGCCGTTGAGGCTGTGGATTTCGTGGGCGTCTTGGATTAGGGAAGCATCAGACCCTTTTCAACCACGTTACTCCGCCTATCCCAACGAAAGGGCGTCTAAAACAAGCCTGAGACGCACATGAACATGCTACATTGCAGTCCCGTGTCGTCGAAAACTCCAGAAAGCTCGCACCTGTCAGCGAGCGGAGGAGGGGAGGAGGAGGGAGTGGGGGGGGAGGAAAACTGGGTGGGCTGCCTACAGACTGCCAAAATCCGTTGGAGGGGGCCGGACCTTGGGGTTTCCATTTGTAAGGGGGGGGGGGGGTCAGTGGGCCCCGTTTTTGGGGGTGGGGTCACTGGGAAGGGGATTAAGAGGTGGGGAATAGGAGAATCCGAATAGGAACCTCTGACCGCTTCGGCCGGGGCCGAGGCGAATTTTGACAACCACCCATTTAGACACCATTGTTTTGGAGTAGGGTTTGGGTATCGGTTTGGGGTGTCGGGCCGAAGGTTGAAGTTTAGCGGGTTCGGGGGCTTCGAATTTCTTTAGAGTTTCCGGCTTAAGGTTTAGTTTTTTGTAATAGTAATGGGTGTGACTTTCCTGAAGGAGTCGTGTGGGCACGGATCAAGTGCGTAAGGCAGCCTGTAGAATCAGGTGACTTAGTGAGTAGGGGTAGAAGAGTGGTAGCTCAGTCATTCAGCAACATGGTCAAAGACTTTGCCAAAGCGGTACTTCAATCACCCCGGTATTGCCCATTATTTTTTCTACTCTATGCCCTCATGCAGAACCACGGTGTTAACAAAACGTCTATTCCTCGAACCTAGACCCAAAACCCTAAAAGCTTATTCCCCAACCCTCGAACCTTAACCCTAAACCCTAAAAGCCTTACAGCCTAGACCCCCACAGCCAACGTTTTAAAGCCTAAGAGATCCCAGTACGCTTGAACACAAGCAAGGATGGGAGATCGTCTTCCAAGGGGACTACATCCATGTGCGAGGTCGACGGGTTGATTGCTGAGGGTTTCTTTTAATCATGTGTTGGGCTTCGCTGTGTAGAGTCACGATTTGATTTTCCGGGTGTTGAGTTTTGCATGGAGGGTTTCTAGAAAAAGACGAAAAGGTATCTGGGTCCTTGCATTAGTGAGTAAACCCTCGCCCTACACCCCACCCAGAGGCCCCAAAGTAGTTCCTTTTTGGGGTTCATATATGGAATCCTATAAGGTAATCCCAAAAAGGAACTGCTTTGGGGCCTATGGGTAAACTGGCGATGGAACAGCCCACAGCAAAGAGTCGGTCTACATCGGGCCCTGATTGTCTGAAACCCTCATACTGTTGATGGGCAAAATCCTGCATGACCCTGAGGAGTCTAGACTATTGGAACTATATGGTATATTCCTTATAATGGGTAATGCAGGATTTTGTCCATCAGCAGTACTGGTTTGTCATGGAGGGAGGGGGGTGTATGTGGTTTTCATGGGTGCATAAGGGTAAAGTTTGGTGTGAACCATGGAAGCCTGAAGAACTAGAGGACCCCTGAGCTTTTCACGCCGTCCGAAACCCTAAACCCTAACCCTATCCCTCCAAGGACCTCACAGTTAGGGCTTAGAAGCTGCCCCCACCCTGTGATAGTGACTATAAGGGTTATATTGGGGCCCTATTATATTCCTACTATACCACTATTACAGGGTGGAGGCCCTAGACCATTTAAGGACCCCATAATTAAGGTCCCTGGAGGCATAGGGTAAACTCGACTCTGCTGCAGGTGAAGGTGGTGGGCTTCACGCCAACAGGACACCATCCTTCAGCTCGCGCCCCAGGAGTCGGGAAGTTAGGGTTTAGGGTTTACGGTGTAGAGTTCCTTCTAAGTTTCCTAGAGGCTCCAAATATGGGAGCTTCCGAAAATTAGGGTGCCTTATTTCGAGGTTCTTGTAATAAGGATCCTACTATTTAGGGTATTATACTAGGGTCCCCTATCTTCGGAAACTCCTATATAGTACCATTATGGAAGTAGGTCCCCAAAGCCATGATATGGATGGTCTTTTGGGACCTAATTCCATAATGGCAATGGTACTATATATGGAGCCTCAGGGTTTGTGGCTTCGAAAAAAAGACTGAGGGTTTAGGATTCCGTGTGCTGGCCCTACAGCCTAAACTTTGGACGCCGATATTGCTATGAGTAGCTCAGGCCGCTGAGGATCCTGAAAGGGGCCCGAAACCCTACACCCTTAAGCCGGATCCAGGGCGCCAGTCCCAAAGCCTAGCCACACACGGTGCCGCCACGCTCCGTGGCGTAGCGGGTTTAGGGTTCAGGGTTTAAGGTTTAGGGCTTGAGGGCTATAAGGGTTTAGGGTTTAGGGTTTAGGGTTGAGGGTGGCTATAAGAGGCACTTGCCTACTACTTTGCTGCCTCTCGGCGGGATCTGGGTCGGTGAAGGCGGAAACGCCAGCCATGTCCATCGATCCGTAGCCGACAAAAGATCTCTGCACGGGACTTCCTTCTTGAAGTACTGCTCGTGATCCGTCCTACAGTCCTAACAACCACTTTACCAGAGTGTTCACAACGCATTTCTGGCCACCCCTTTGACCCTAAACACTGAACCCTAAACCTTGCACCCGAGCCCCAAACCTCGAACCTCGCACTGTAGGCTCTACATCCAAGCCGCGAACCCTAAACAACCTAATCCTAACCCGTATGTCTCCAGGCGCCTGCACGACGAGACCTGCCCCCAAACCCTATTCTAATTATTAGGGCCCCTATGGTAAGTAGGGTGCTTTCTGAATGTGTTGGTGTCTACCGTCTGGCAGGGCTTCGCGGACAAGAACCATAGAAGCTAAGTCCGCAGCCCATAGCCCCTACATAAAAGAAGCCCCAAACACTAAATCCACAACTTTCACACCCTTTAACGGCTAAACCCTAAACCCTAAACCCTAAACCCTGTAAACCTCAAGCCTTAGGGGTACTTAGAAATAGTTTTTAATTTTCTGTTATTATAATCCCTAAGAAACAGCTGAAATTATAATTTTTGCTAGGGTTCTAAGTTCAGTATAGAAACCCGGAATCGCAGCGTGCCCGAAGGCCCCACTCCGAAGCTGCACTGGTGCCCAAGCCAAGACTCACAAAGCCTCAAAGCCCAAAACCACCAGAACCCAATCTCAAACATTGAGCCCTCTTAGAAACTTTCAATGGTCCTTTCTAGGACCTTTTGTAGGCCCTTTCAACGGCCTGTTCCAAACCTGAAAAAGGAACCATTCTAAAGCCATGATAGAACCCGAATAAATTCCTCGTAGGACGCTTATGGAGCCCCTTTGAGGGCCCCTTCCCGGAACCCCTAAACCCTACAGCAGAAACCCCTAAACCCTAAACCCCAAACCTAAACCCCCCCAACCTCCTAAACCTTGAAAGCCCTAAAACGCCACAGGCCCCAAACCCCAAACCGCAAGCCCAAAAACACGAAAACCCCCCTTGCAAGGCCCCTTTGAAACCCCCTGACCCCCCGCACCAAACTCTAAACCATAAACCCTACAGCAGAAACCTTAAACCCTAAACCCAAAACCCCTAATTCCTAAACCCTAAAACCCTAAACCCTGAACCCCAAATAAACCCTAAAACCTAAACCCTTAACCCCAAACAAACCCGAAACCCTAAGCCCTTAACCCTTAAACCCTGAACCCCTCCCCCCTAGGCCCGGTCCCCTGGTTCCGTGGCGACCACGCTGTCCATGCAGCGGATGGACAGTCGCTTCCTTGTGCTTGCATGGGGTTTACCCATAGGCCCCAAAGTAGTTCCCATTTATTTGGGATTACCCCCTAAACCCTAAACCCTAAACCCTAAACCCTAAACCTTAAACCCTAAACCCTAAGCCCTAAGTTTAGGGATCTAGGGTTTTACCCATAGGTGCCAGGAGCTGTGGAGAACCTCAGTATTTAGGGTTTAGGGATTTAGGGTTTAGGGTTTAAGGTTTTAAAGGGCTTGGGGTTTAGGGTTTGTATACCTTACCCAGAGGCCCCAAAGTAGTTCCTTTCTTGGGGATTGCTTTATGGGAGTCTACATATGAACCCAAAAAGGAGCTACTTTGGGGCCTCTGGGTACTTAAAAGATCATGGGACTTAGTAACTAGGGTTATAATTAGGGTAACTATACTTATAACCCCAATTGGGGTACTTATAACCTTACTTACTAAGTCCCATGACCCTCCAAGTAGGCTAGGGTTGAAAGGGAGGGGTTTGGGTTTGAAGGGTTTCGTGGTGGGTTTGAGGATGCCAGGGTCCGAGTTTACAGGCGTTGAGGGCTCAGAGTTTTGAGGGTTGGGTTTGGGTTTGGGTTTAGGGTTTAGGGTTTAGGGTTTAGGGTTTAGGGTTAGGGGGTTTAGAGTTTGAGGTTCTGCCGTGCCTTTGGAGTTTACATGCGCAGGAAGGGTTAGAGCATGAGGGAAGGGTCCCAGGTCTAAGGGTTTCTACAAGGAAGTGATTTTGCTTCTGCAAGATTCCTCAACGGGTTCCAGAAGAGGTCTTCGTGAAGATGATATAGGGTTTAAACGCAGGGGCTGTGGGGTATTCCGGGGGTTTAGGGTTCTCTCTCTCTCTCTCTCTCCCTTTCTCTGTCTCTGCCTCTGTCTCTGCCTCTCTCTCTCTCTCTCTTCCTCTCTCCCTCTCCAACGCATACATACTTGTTGGCGTAGACACAGAGGCAGAGCCACAGCAAAGCGCGGACAACTCTCCAAATAAATCCAAGCCACGGGCGGAGCAATCGCACATGTGACCTGAAATGCGAACATGAAACCCTAAACCCTAAACCCCTAAACCCCTAAACCCCTAAACCCTAAACCCTAAACCCCTAAACCCTAAACCCTAAGCAAACACCAAGCACCCAAGCAAGTCGCACTCCAATGGTTTCACATCACATTCCGAAACCCAAATATAGGGGCCCTAAGAACTACCAATGGAATTTTAGTGGTTCCTTTTTGTGATCATGGTATGATGGGCCCCAAAACCCGGTTCTAAGCATTCAGGCCTATATTATATACAACCCTTATGGATCCCTCATAGTAGTTTATAGACCCTTTAAAGGAACCCCATTCTAACCATTAAGGCCCCTATATTAGGATTAAGCCGTCTCGGCCGATTCCATGGGAAGCTGCTCCTCCACTTTCTCCGACCGCCCGAGGTTCTGAACACGCCGCGATCCGTCACATCAGGCAAACTCCACCACACGTTCGGCACCCAGATGCTGAGGCACCCTAGGTATACTTGAAGCGTCAATGCTTGTAGCGATCGTGGTAGTTGCAGCAGCTGTCACATTGAAGCATCGAAGGTGAAACTGTGTTAAGCTATAAGCATCCTAAACCCTAAACCAGACGTCGCGGCTGCCTGTTGCTTTTTATGGTGGCGTTTTCAATATAATTTAGAGCGTCGGACTTAGGTAGTCCTAGCGTCGAACTCGTGCCAGGACTTAAGGCAGGGTTTTAGAGTTCTCGGGTTAAAGTTGGCGGGTGACATTCATTTTGAGTCTTTTTCTGCTGTTCGTCGCTTAGCCGACATAATGAGCCCAATCCAAATCTCGTCAACCCGGAACAGCACAAACCCAAGCTCTAACTGGGGAGAGTCCTGATTTTGGTGGGCTCCCTGCCCTGAACCAGGGTCAGAAACGTGTATGCGAGTTTCCGAAAATTCAGAGTACCTTATTTGGGGTCCTCATAGTAAGAATCCGACTATTTGGGGTACTATAGTCGGGTCCCCTATTTTCAGAAACCCCCGTATCTTTGTCGAAGGAGTCAGGATTAGCAGCAGTAACAATTGTCGATAGTGGCGCTTGGAGAAGCACTTCACCGTGCCAAGCGGTCTCGCGATGATAGGGTTTAGGGTTTAGGGTTTAGGGGTTTAGGGTTTAGGGTTTAGGGTTTAGGGTTTAGTTGCAGCAACCATGCAAGACGAATGTTGGCTTTGAGCTGGAAGGCTCTGTACAAGTATACTACTGTATACTATAATGTACCCTAAAGCCCTGTTCACTCATACCGCTATACTACACCCTTACAGTAACCCTATAGACCCCTTGAAGGAACCCTTTCAAGGAGCTCCACTCTAACTACTAAGACCCCATGCGTGCCCGAACCCGAATCCCTAAACCCCTAAACTCTGCAAGTCTACGCAGAAGCCGTAGAATCCCAACAGGCTCCCTGTGGTAGGGATTAGGGTTTAGGGTTTTGGGTCGGTTTAGGGTTTAGGCTTTTTGGAAGCCGAAACAAACCGCAATGAGCCCTAGGATACAGCAACATCAAAGCCTTCTGCCCTCTGGCCCACGGCTCATAGCCCCAACCCTATGTTTTGGGTGGCTCAAAAACCTATGTAAATGATTCACCAAAAATTACATTGCGCGCGCAAACAGCGGACGCGCACCGCTAAACCCGATAAACCCGTTAAACCCGATAAACCCGATAAACCCGATAAGCCCGATAAACCCGATAAACCCGGTAAACCCGATAAACCCGATAAACCCGATAAACCCGATAAACCCGATAAACCCGATAAACCCGATAAACCCGATAAACCCGCTAAACCCGGTAAACCCGATAAACCCGATAAACCCGGTAAACCCGGTGAACCTGATATCAGGGGCGCCCCCTCAACCCAAGGCCCCACCCTCGGAGTTCAAGATCTGTAAGGGTTGTGACTTAGAAATCAGGGGTGCCCCATCAACCCAAGGCCCGACCCTCGGAGTTCAAGATTTGTAAGAGTTCTGATTAAAAAACCAGGGGCGTCCAAGGCCCCACCCCCGGAGTTCAAGCTCACTAAGAGGCGGTGATCTGAAAATCATGGGCGCTCCATCAGTCCAAGTCCTCATCCTCGGAGTTCAACATCTGTCAAAGCTTTGATTTAAGAATCAGGGGTGCCCCATCAGTCCAAAGCTCCACCCTCGGAGTTCAAGGATCTGTAAGGGTTCTGATTTAAAAATCAGGGGCGCCCCGCTCCATCAGAGTCCAAGGCCCCACCCTCGGAGTTCAAGATCTGTAAGGGTTGTGATTTAAAAATCAGGGGCGCCCCGCTCCATCAGAGTCCAAGGCCCCACCCTCGGAGTTCAAGATCTGTAAGGGTTGGGATTTAGAAATCAGGGGCGCCCCGCCCCATCAGAGTCCAAGGCCCCACCCTCGGAGTTCAAGATCTGTAAGGGTTGTGATTTAGAAATCAGGGGTGTCCCATCAACCCAAGGCCCGACCCTCGGAGTTCAAGATTTGTAAGAGTTCTGATTAAAAAACCAGGGGTGTCCAAGGCCCCACGCCCGGAGTTCAAGCTCACTAAGATGGGCGCTCCATCAGTCCAAGTCCTCATCCTCAAGATTTGAAAGAGTTCTGATTAAAACAACCAGGGGCGTCCGAGGCCCCACCCCCGGAGTTCAAGCTCACTAAGAGGCGGTGATCTGAAAATCATGGGCGCTCCATCAGTCCAGGGCCTCCTCCTCGGAGTTCAACATCTGTCAAAGCTTTGATTTAAGAATCAGGGGTGCCCCATCAGTCCAAAGCCCCACCCTCGGAGTTCAAGGATCTGTAAGGGTTCTGATTTAAAAATCAGGGGCGCCCCGCTCCATCAGAGTCCAAGGCCCCACCCTCGGAGTTCAAGATCTGTAAGGGTTGGGATTTAGAAATCAGGGGCGCCCCGCTCCATCAGAGTCCAAGGCCCCACCCTCGGAGTTCAAGATTTGAAAGAGTTCTGATTAAAACAACCAGGGGCGTCCGAGGCCCCACCCCCGGAGTTCAAGCTCACTAAGAGGCGGTGATCTGAAAATCATGGGCGCTCCATCAGTCCAGGGCCTCCTCCTCGGAGTTCAACATCTGTCAAAGCTTTGATTTAAGAATCAGGGGTGCCCCATCAGTCCAAAGCCCCACCCTCGGAGTTCAAGGATCTGTAAGGGTTCTGATTTAAAAATCAGGGGCGCCCCGCTCCATCAGAGTCCAAGGCCCCACCCTCGGAGTTCAAGATCTGTAAGGGTTGGGATTTAGAAATCAGGGGCGCCCCGCCCCATCAGAGTCCAAGGCCCCACCCTCGGAGTTCAAGATCTGTAAGGGTTGTGATTTAGAAATCAGGGGTGCCCCATCAACCCAAGGCCCGACCCTCGGAGTTCAAGATTTGTAAGAGTTCTGAAGAAAAACCAGGGGCGTCCAAGGCCCCACCCCCGGAGGACAAGCTCACTAAGAGGCGGTGATCTGAAAATCATGGGCGCTCCATCAGTCCAAGTCCTCATCCTCGGAGTTCAACATCTGTCAAAGCTTTGATTTCAGAATCAGGGGTGCCCCATCAGTCCAAAGCTCCACCCTCGGAGTTCAAGGATCTGTAAGGGTTCTGATTTAAAAATCAGGGGCGCCCCGCTCCATCAGAGTCCAAGGCCCCACCCTCGGAGTTCAAGATCTGTAAGGGTTGGGATTTAGAAATCAGGGGCGCCCCGCTCCATCAGAGTCCAAGGCCCCACCCTCGGAGTTCAAGATTTGAAAGAGTTCTGATTAAAACAACCAGGGGCGTCCGAGGCCCCACCCCCGGAGTTCAAGCTCACTAAGAGGCGGTGATCTGAAAATCATGGGCGCTCCATCAGTCCAGGGCCTCCTCCTCGGAGTTCAACATCTGTCAAAGCTTTGATTTAAGAATCAGGGGTGCCCCATCAGTCCAAAGCCCCACCCTCGGAGTTCAAGGATCTGTAAGGGTTCTGATTTAAAAATCAGGGGCGCCCCGCTCCATCAGAGTCCAAGGCCCCACCCTCGGAGTTCAAGATCTGTAAGGGTTGTGATTTAGAAATCAGGGGCGCCCCGCCCCATCAGAGTCCAAGGCCCCACCCTCGGAGTTCAAGATCTGTAAGGGTTGTGATTTAGAAATCAGGGGTGCCCCATCAACCCAAGGCCCGACCCTCGGAGTTCAAGATTTGAAAAAGTTCTGATTAAAACAACCAGGGGCGTCCGAGGCCCCACCCCCGGAGTTCAAGCTCACTAAGAGGCGATGATCTGGGTGATCTGAAAATCATGGGCGCTCCTCCATCAGTCCAGGGCCTCCTCCTCGGAGTTCAACATCTGTCAAAGCTTTGATTTAAGAATCAGGGGTGCCCCATCAGTCCAAAGCCCCACCCTCGGAGTTCAAGGATCTGTAAGGGTTCTGATTTAAAAATCAGGGGCGCCCCGCTCCATCAGAGTCCAAGGCCCCACCCTCGGAGTTCAAGATTTGAAAGAGTTCTGATTAAACAAACCAGGGGCGTCCGAGGCCCCACCCCCGGAGTTCAAGCTCACTAAGAGGCGGTGATCTGAAAATCATGGGCGCTCCATCAGTCCAGGGCCTCCTCCTCCTCTTCAACATCTGTCAAAGCTTTGATTTAAGAATCAGGGGTGCCCCATCAGTCCAAAGCCCCACCCTCGGAGTTCAAGGATCTGTAAGGGTTGTGATTTAGAAATCAGGGGTGCCCCATCAACCCAAGGCCCGACCCTCGGAGTTCAAGATTTGTAAGAGTTCTGAAGAAAAACCAGTGGCGTCCAAGGCCCCACCCCCGGAGGACAAGCTCACTAAGAGGTGGTGATCTGAAAATCATGGGCGCTCCATCAGTCCAAGTCCTCATCCTCGGAGTTCAACATCTGTCAAAGCTTTGATTTCAGAATCAGGGGTGCCCCATCAGTCCAAAGCCCCACCCTCGGAGTTCAAGGATCTGTAAGGGTTCTGATTTAAAAATCAGGGGCGCCCTGCTCCATCAGAGTCCAAGGCCCCACCCTCGGAGTTCAAGATCTGTAAGGGTTGGGATTTAGAAATCAGGGGCGCCCCGCCCCATCAGAGTCCAAGGCCCCACCCTCGGAGTTCAAGATCTGTAAGGGTTGTGATTTAGAAATCAGGGGTGCCCCATCAACCCAAGGCCCGACCCGGAGTTCAAGATTTGAAAAAGTTCTGATTAAAACAACCAGGGGCGTCCGAGGCCCCACCCCCGGAGTTCAAGCTCACTAAGAGGCGGTGATCTGGGTGATCTGAAAATCATGGGCGCTCCATCAGTCCAGGGCCTCCTCCTCGGAGTTCAACATCTGTCAAAGCTTTGATTTAAGAATCAGGGGTGCCCCATCAGTCCAAAGCCCACCCTCGGAGTTCAAGGATCTGTAAGGGTTCTGATTTAAAAATCAGGGGCGCCCCGCTCCATCAGAGTCCAAGGCCCCACCCTCGGAGTTCAAGATCTGTAAGGGTTGTGATTTAGAAATCAGGGGTGCCCCATCAACCCAAGGCCCGACCCTCAAGATTTGTAAGAGTTCTGATTAAAAAAACCAGGTGCGTCCAAAGCCCCACCCCCGGAGTTCAAGCTCACTAAGAGGCGGTAATCTGAAAATCATGGGCGCTCCATCAGTCCAAGTCCTCATCCTCGGAGTTCAACATCTGTCAAAGCTTTGATTTAAGAATCAGGGGTGCCCCATCAGTCCAAAGCTCCACCCTCGGAGTTCAAGGATCTGTAAGGGTTCTGATTTAAAAAACAGGAGCGCCCCGCTCCATCAGAGTCCAAGGCCCCACCCTCGGAGTTCAAGATTTGAAAGAGTTCTGATTAAAACAACCAGGGGCGTCCGAGGCCCCACCCCCGGAGTTCAAGCTCACTAAGAGGCGGAGATCGAAAATTCATGGGCGCTCCATCAGTCCAGGGCCTCCTCCTCTTCAACATCTGTCAAAGCTTTGATTTAAGAATCAGGGATGCCCCATCAGTCCAAAGCCCCACCCTCGGAGTTCAAGGATCCGTAAGGGTTCTGATTTTAAAATCAGGGGCGCCCCGCCCCATCAGAGTCCAAGGCCCCACCCTCAGAGTTCAAGACCTGTCAGGGTTCTGACTCAAGAATCGGTCGGTAGTCATAGATTTCAGAAGACTTTCAGAAGAACAGAGACACAACAATAAACCCAAAACAGTTCCGAAGTGCGCGTCAAATTCCGGGTGCACGCACAAGAGCACGTCAATTGAGTCGAGATTCGTGGTCGTTCGCCAAAAAATCCGCTGAATAGGATGCAATATAACCCCACGTGAAATGTAAAAACTCTCTCTGACTGACAGTTGAAGAGAATTCGCAGGACTGCGGGAACTGCTGCCAGCAATGAGCCACAAAAACCTGGTACGACAGGCACTGCCCGGAAATCGCAGGCTGCAAAACCAAGGTAGCAACCAGGCTGCAACAGCCACAGGGTAGTATTGCCTGTGTGCCAGGCTGTAGGCAGAATTCCAGCGCAATTCCAGCGCAATTCGGCGCAATTCGGCGCAATTCGGCGCAATCGGCGCAATTCGGCGCAATTCGGCGCAAACGGCGCAATTCGGCGCAATCGGCGCAATTCGGCGCAATTCGGCGCAAACGGCGCAATTGGCGCAATTCGGCGCAAACGGCGCAATTGCCCAATTCGGCGCAATCGGTGCTTTCCAGCGCATTCCAACGCATTCGGCGCATTCCAGCGCAATCGGCGCATTCCAGCGCAATCGGCGCAATCCAGCGCATGGCCATCTGCGGCCACTGAGCCCGCACGCACTGAAAAATTAGACAGACTATTCCAGTATGGTCTCTACCTACCTGTACTTCTTTCTACCCGAAAAGCATATTCCAATCATTAAGGCACCTTCATTAACATCTCTGTCGTGGTGAAGGTTCGTGTTCCAGAACTTGTCGTTGCGGATGTAAGCCCCTTCCCAGAGAGCCCAATACCCCTTAATTAAGGAGTATAGCTTAAATCATATTATGCGCCCCCTTGTAATTTAAGCTATATTCCTTAATTAAGGGGTATTGGGCTCTCTGGGTTCTGCTCAGTGGAGGTGGCCACATTCATATGGTCGCACGCTACAATGAGGATACGTCGCATCGCATGCTGGAGGCGCTCTTCACCTCTGAAACGGGAGCCCGCTACATTCCAGTCCTCTACGACTGCATCAACTGCTTGTGTGAGATGCGGGATGATCCCCGGTTTGCCCAATTTTGAGCCGATCTCTGTTATGATACCTTTCAGGACGTTCTCACCCTCCGGCAGCTAACCCTAAAACCACAGGCTGTCCTACATATTTACCAACAGCCAATACTATTGTGGGGATTCCGTATTATAAGGTGCAGTAGATTGGGCCCCAAGCCCGTATTCTAACTACTAATGCCCCTATTAAACCCCTGTAGTACCCCTTCCTAAGGACCCTTGAAAGAACCCAGCTTAAACAAAGCCCCCCAAACCCTATTCTAGGTATTAAGGCCCTGATATTAGGATCCTTCTTCCGGCTTTGGGTAGCCCAGGTTCATGCGACAAGTGCATCGGTTCCAGCAAGGCAAAGAGCAATCCTGGAACTACTAGTAGTTTAGGGCTTACGGTTTTGGGGTTTATGGTTTAGGGTTTCAGGGTTTCGGGGTTTGGGGTTAGGGTTTAGGGTTTGGGGTTTAGGGTGTAGAGTTTAGGGTTTAGGGGTTAGGGTTTAGTTTGGGTTCTAGGGTAGGAGGTTCTAAACCCTAAACCCTAGCCCCTAAACCCCTAAACCCCGAAGCCCTAAACCCTAAACGAACCTAGTCTATTCTGGGTTGCTTCCTTCAGGGTTCCGCCCGGCTGAGATCTTCGGATACCTCTTAATTACTAAAGCCAAAACTCTGAACATAGGCTCATGCGGAATGCAGACTGATCTCGGAATTCCGAAGGTCCTTTAAAGTAGCATAGGAGAACCACGACGATGCGTCCGTGCCGTGTGCCGCTGCTTCTTGCTCCGGGGTTTAGGGTTTAGGGGCCTTTGGAGGGCTGCTGGACTTACATATGGGAGTTTCCGAAAATTAGGGGTACCTTTAAAGGGATCCTTTAAGGGTTCCTTAAAGGGATCTATAAGGGTTCTATAAAGGGTTTAGAGTTCTCGAAAATTAGGGGTGCATTATTTGGTGTCTTTATTAAATGGATCCCACAATTTAGGGTACCAGATTAGGGTCCCCTATTTTTGGGAACTCCCATATTCAACAGTGTTTAAACAATCAGTGCCACCACTGCAGTCGACATGGTCAGCTTCTGAGTCAGCTTCTGTCCTGTCCTTGCCACTCGGTTCCTGTCCCTCTTCCGGCTGCCGTGTCCTCCTCCTCTTCCTCCTCAGTGAACACGACTGCTTCTTTCCTCTACCTTTTTCTAGGCTTGTTGCCGTCGTCTCTCCTCCCCCAGCTGCGTGGGGGAAGAGTGTGAGCATGACCCAAAGGCGCACGCGCGTGCGACGAGTCTTGCCGGCCGTGTCATGGGTTTCCGCGTCCTCCCACAACCAGCGGATAGTGGGGCAATCACTGTGCAGAGCTGGGACCCAGGGCATGCCGAGAAGTACGAGATCACGGTGGTTCAGCCATGTCACTGCTATACTCATTGCAGTGGTGCGCGGGGCGCAGTGGTGGATGACAAGGTCATCGGTGACGATGAGAGGCTGCAGGAGGATGTGCAGAACTGGAAGCGACTGCGCGCGCTGCTGCGCAAGGATGGCACTCTCGGCGGCCCTAACCCCCAAACCCTAGACCCTGAACGCTAAATTCTGAGCCCTAAACCCTCAACCCTAAACCCCAAGAACAACAACAACTCTTCAATGGCAGAGCTCCCTCCCAAAGCCTAGTTCCAAAGCCTCAAAGGATCCGCAAACTTGGTAAATAAATTCCTTCGAGGGAGTTGGGGGTTTCTAGGGTGTGAGGGTTCTACAGGGACTGAGGGGTGTGTCAGACCTGGAACACTCGGAGGTTCATGGGTAGTTTAGTAGGGTAAGCATACTTATAAGCCATATTAGCGGGCTCATAACCCCACTTATAACTACCCAGGAACCTCCAAGTAAGCAAGGGTCCCCGCTATGACATTATGATTCTGATAAATGACCCTACTCAGGGTACTGATAACCCTACTAATTAAGTCTCCTGAGCCTTCTAAGCTAAAACATGCTCCCTGTAACACATCAGCCCCAAGCCCTGAACCCTACCGCCTGAACCCTGAACCCCAAAATTCCTCGCGGCGCAGGCTTCTGGAGAAGCAGGAAGCTTCCATATAAATGGCAGCCTAATGGCACCTTGCTGGGCAGAGCTTGTGCAGCCTCTTGAGAAAAGCCCGAAACCCTGCAGGTTCAAAGAATCGCTACCCAACCCTAACTCACCAGGCCAGAAAGGCTGATAGTTTGAATGCTATGCCCTCTTCCATGGAGAACTCCCCGCGCTTTTTGTTGGACGGCATAGCCCGAATCCAAGCCGCGGAGTCCATCCTGTCTGGGGAGGCAGGCAGCCACCAGGATTTTGGCTTAAATACTAAAGCCAACAAAAGTAAAACCTACACAGCAGATTGCAATAAACCTCCTAACAACAAAACCCTATGCCCAATATCTAAACACTTGAAAACTAATCCCTAAACCCTTAACCCTAAGCTCGAAACACACATGCCCTGACTGGTGGACAGACCCATCTCCCCTAGCCATTCAGGCAAAACAGGCAAGGCCGATGACCTTCAGCCCAAGCTGAACAATTCAAAGAGCAGTTTTTAAGCAGTCCTGTAGAGATCTTCGAAGGGAAGATCCACTGTTTAGGGGTTAGTGTGGAAGTTTGAATGGTTTGCCAACGTTCCCAAAATTTCTCTTATAGTCCCTACACATCTATATGTGCTCGTCTATTTTATACGGTACGCCAAAACGCAATTCTATTCACTACATAGAAGGATGGTGGTGTCTAAGGACCGAAAACTAAAGCATCAACCCTAAACCCTAATCCCTAAACCCTGAACCCTGCTCCCGAAACACCAAGAACTAAAGCATCAACCCTAAACCCAAATTCCTAAGCCCTAAACCCTAATCCCTAAACCCCTAACCCCTAAACCCCTAAACCTTAAACCCCTAAACCCTAATCCCTAAACCCTGAACCCAACTCCCGAAGCCCTACATGGAGGATCAGGGCTGGGGGCCTAGGGTGGAGGGAGCTCCTACTTCTTGTCAAGGTTTAGGGTTTAAGGTTTAGGATTTAAGATTTAGGTTTTAGGGTTTAGGGTTTAGGACTTGGCACATTTTAGGGTTTAGGATTTAGCAAAATCAGGGTTTTAGGGGTTAGGATTTAGCGTATTTAGGGCTTAGGGTTTAGGACTTAGCATATTTTAGGGTTTAGGATTTAGCAAAATCAGGGTTTTAGGGGTTAGGATTCAGCATATTTAGGGCTTAGGGTATAGGACTTAGCATATTTTAGGGTTTAGGATTTAGCAAAATCAGGGTTTTAGGGGTTAGGATTTAGTATATTTAGGGCTTAGGGTTTAGGACTTAGCATATTTGGGGCTCAGGACTTAGCTTATTTAGGCTTTAGGGTTTCGAGTTGATCCTGCGCTAGGGTTTACTTGCGGCCGGGAGGCCGCCGAGTTCTGCAGCTACCAGAAGATTGGTTTCTACTTAAAGGATCATGGGACTTAGTAACTAGGGTTCCTTAAAGGGCTCTTTAAAGGGATCTATAAGGTTCCTTAAAGGGCTCTTTAAAGGGATCTATAAGGTTCCTTAAAGGGCTCTTTAAAGGGATCTATAAGGTTCCTTAAAGGGATCTATAGGGTTTAGGGTTTAGGGTCTACTTAAGGGATCATGGGACTTAGTAACTAGGGTTATAATTAGGGTAATTATACTTATAACCCCAATTAGGGTACTTATAACCTTACTTACTAAGTCTCATGATCCTTCAAGTAGATTGGGAGTTCGGATTAAGGGGACCCTTGGGGATAAAGACCCTCTCAATAAGGTCCCTTTTAAGAGAGCCAGAAGTAGGGTTCAGAAGGGATACCCTTTAAGGGGTCTCTCAAATAATACTACCTGTAGATGATGTTTAGATCTTCTGATTTGTCCTTTCGGATCTTTTTTAAATTTCCCCTACTATATTTTGTAGAGAACCATAATAGTAAGTAATTTTCAATTGGCTTAAAGGACAACTCAGTCTTTGGATTCGAAGTGTAGGGTGTAAGTTCAAGGTTTAGGCGCTTATGGATTCAGGGGTTGAGGGGTCATGGAGTCTGGGTATAAGGCTTCGTGAGGCTGTCCTTTGAACAAACCTTTCCTTACTCCGTGATGCAGACTGCCCCATACTCCAATATCGCTCAGCTCTAATGGTTTCAATGTTGCACTTCTGGTCGCCCTAAACCCTAGACGCGTTCCGGATGGCCTTAACCTCCGTGAGCCCCCGCGGTTTGAGGTTTCGGGTCCGGGGCTTAGGCAGGTCCCTCAACCCTACCTGGACGGGTCCTTAGTGGGTTAGAGTTTAGGGTGTAAGGTTCAACTTTTAGAGTTTAGGGTTCAAGGTTCAACTTTTAGAGTTTAGGGTTTAAGGTTCAACTTTTAGAGTTTAGGGTTCAAGGTTTAGGGTTTAGGGTTTAGGATTAAAGCCCTTGTAATATTAGACTTTTTGGGGTCCAGGTAAACCCTAAGGCACTGTGGTGGTGCGGGCTTTGGAATTTAGGAAGCGTTGGGAATGCAAAAGACCTAAACCCCGAATTCCTGTTGTTAAGGTCCTTTTATTATGCTGCGGGAGTGCTCCCTCATTGTGGATACCCTTTCGGAGATCTGCAGGCAAAGGCTACAAAGCCACCGTGTCCGGCTGTGTGTGACCCTGTGCCGCCCTACGACCCCTAACACCTTAGTCGAGAACTGCTCTGTGTTGAGGACTCGGCGAAGTCAGTTGCAGAGGCTTTCAAGAAGATGACGCAAGTGCTTTTTCAGAAGCGCACGTAACTCATAGGAGGCCAAAAAGGGTTGTAGCCTATGGGGGTTTGGTAGGGATTAGGGTTCCCATAATAGGGTTCATATGAATGAAGGAATCCCTCCCCCAGGAATCTTAAACCCCCCCTTTTGGCCTCCCATCAGTAACATCCGAATCCTTGTCCTTGCCAGCCCTAAACCTTGAGACGAAAAAGCCTAAGCGCTAGATGCTCCGAAGCCAGGATGTACACAGCCGGGATTTCCGTTCAGGAGGTCTTTGCGATTTTTAGAAACCTACACAGGAGTTTCAATGCATGCAGGTTGCATGATGATTGCAGTGATGCGATCTTCGGAAACTTGTCGAAAGTGAACACTCTACGGTTAAGGGCTTGAAGGCTCTTTTCGTTGGGGGTGGTCCGGTCCAACAGTGCCACCCACCAAAACAGTATTGGTAATTATTTAGGCCCCAACATTAATTATACCCCAAAACCTTATCCTAAATGTTAAGGCCCTATATTACCAATATCATGCCTTAGCTTTCGTTATCACAATAACTAACCACACTTTACCCAAAGGCCCCATAGTGGTTCCTTTTTGGGGTTCATATTTGGAATCCTATAAGGCAATCCCACAAAGGAACTACTATGGGGCCTATGGCCTATGGGTAAGCACTAGAATGCACCCGAAACCCTGTTCCAGTTCACAGAACCCTGTTCCATTTCAGAGGTCCTATGTGGGAATTCTTTACCGGAAAGCCATGCAACGCCGAAAGCTTTAAACCCGAAGACCCGAACAACGACTTCAAACCCAGGGGTCGTCTTAGGTTCCGAGACTGTGTTGTCGTTTATATGAGGTTTAGAGTTTATGGATTAGGGCCTAGGGTTTAGGGTTGAGGGATTTCCAACTCTAGGCTCAAAACTAGCTGCGACTTCGACACCTTTCCTTTTCTCTGAAGGGACGAACCAGCCTGGCACGCTTCCACGGCGTCTTTGCAGGATTCGAGACCTTGAGCCTGAAATGGCCGTTGTCCCTTTAGACCCAATTTCTGAATGGCCTGCGCCAAGTGCGGCCACTCACGGTATGGCAGCAGCCTACCTGTGTCAGCTTAGTAAAGTACATTCACATTGGGTGGTGCACTGCGGCGGCCGACGGCTCAAAATATTAGTGTTGAAGCTTGAATAACTACCAGTAGTAGGCCTTGTGGTTCCTTGTTATAGCTATAGTATTAAGGAGCCCCAAACCCTATTGAAATTATTAAGGCCTCTGCATTATAACCTGTGGTTCCCAATTAGATAGCTAAGTGCAATTATGATCATCATCGCTGTCATAGTGCTGACAAGAGCACTCATAGTCGTAACCGCGCAAGACTACAGTAGTGATTACGGTGGCAGTGCCAGTACCAGTAGCAGTAGCAGTTAACATAGTAGTAGCAGTAACAGTAACAGTAGCAACTGTATTAACGATAAAGGAGAATGTGTAATAACAATACACCAGGCAATGGTAGTCACACATCTCCAGAGTGATAGCAATAACCAGGAAGAACAATCATGAGACCAATATTGACAGCAATATGAATTACTCTGATAACAACCATGACCATAACGATAACCAATAATAAACTAGCTTGTATGGTAGTAGTCGCTACAGCAAAAAAGAGTAGTGTACGGAGTAATAGCATTAGCAGTAGTGGTAATAGCTAATGGTAAAACTAGTACTGGTGCTACCCAGCACTTGCAATCGAAGTAGTAGTAGTAGTAGTGGTGGTGGTGGTGGTGGTGGTGGTGGTGGTGGTGGTGGTGGTGGTGGTGGTGGTGGTGCAAGTCGTAGAAGTAGAAGTAGAAGCCAAAGCAGAGGTAGAAGTAGTAGTAGTAGTAGTAGTAGTAGTAGTAGTAGTAGTAGTAGTAGTAGTAGTAGTAGTAGTAGTGGTAGTGGTAGTGGTAGTAGTCGTAGTAGTCGTAGTAGTCGTAGTAGTAGTAGTAGTAGTAGTAGTAGTAGTAGTAGTAGTAGTAGTAGTAGTAGTAGTAGTAGTAGTAGTAGTAGTAGTAGTAGTAGTAGTAGCAGCAGCAGCAGCAGCAGCAGCAGCAGCAGCAGCAGCAGCAGGAGGAGGAGGAGGAGGAGAGGAGGAGGAGGAGGAGGAGGAGGAGGAGGAGGAGGAGGAGGAGGAGGAGGAGGAGGAGGAGTAGTAGTAGTAGTAGTAGTAGAAGTCGTGGTGGTGGTGGTGGTGGTGGTGGTGGTAGTAGTAGTAGTAGCAGTAGTAGTAGTAGTAGTAGTAGTAGTAGTAGTAGTAGTAGTAGTAACAGTAGTTGCAGTCGTCGTCGTAGTCGTAGTCGTAGTCGTAGTCGTAG